TCTGTTGTCTTTTGTAGTGTCTTGTGCTTGTGTCTTCCTGGTAGTGTCTTGTGTTCTGTTCGCCTTCCTGGTAGCTGTCTTGTGTTGTGGCCCTTCCTGGTAGTGTCTTGTGTCTGTTGTCTTCCTGGTAGTGTCTTGTGTCTGCTGTCTTCCTGGTAGTGTCTTGTGTCTGTTGTCTTCCTGGTAGTGTCTTGTGTCTGTTGTCTTCCTGGTAGTGTCTTGTGTCTGTTGTCTTCCTGGTAGTGTCTTGTGTCTGCTGTCTTCATGGTAGTGGTCTTGTGTATGTTTGCTTCTGGTAGTGTCTTGTGTCTGCTGTCTTCCTGGTAGAGGTCTTGTTGTCTGCTGTCTTCCTGCGGTAGTGTCTTGTGTCTGCTGTCTTCCTGGTAGTGTCTTGTGTCTGCTGTCTTCCTGGTAGTGTCTTGTGTCTGTTGTCTTCTTGGTAGCGCCTTGTGTCTGTTGTCTTCCTGGTAGTGCCTTATGTCTGTTGTCTTCTTGGTAGCGCCTTGTGTCTGTTGTCTTCCTGGTAGTGTCTTGTGTCTGCTGTCTTCCTGGTAGTGTCTTGTGTCTGTCTGCCTTCCTGGTAGTGTCTTGTGTCTGCTGTCTTCCTGGGTAGTGTTTGTGTCGGTTGTATTCCTGGTAGTGTCTTGTGTTGCTGTCTTCCTGGTTGTGCCTGGTGTATGTTGTTTCCTGGATAGTGTCTGTGTCTGCTGTTCTTCCTGGTAGGTCTTGTGTCTTGCTGTCTTCCTGGTAGTGTCTTGTGTCTGCTGTCTTCCTGGTAGTGTCTTGTGTCTGTTGCTTCCTGGTAGTGTCTTGTGTCTGCTGTCTCCTGGTAGAGTCTTGTGTCTGCTGTCTTCCTGGGAATTGTGTCTTGTTGTCTTGCTGTCTTTCTGGTTGTGTCTTGTGTATGCTGTCTTCACTGGTGTGTCTTGTGTCTGTTGTCTTATGGGTAGGCCTGTGTCTGTTGTCTTCCTGTGTGCCTTATGTCTGTTGTCTTCTGGTAGCGGCCTTGTGTCTGTTGTCTTCCTGGTAGATGTCTTTGTCTGTTGTCTTCCTGGATAGTGTTTGTGTCTGCTGTCTTCTGGTAGTGTCTTGGTCTGTTGCATTCCTGGTAGTGTCTTGTTGTCTGCTGTACTTCTGGTAGTGATCTTGTGTCTTTTGTATTCCTGGTAGTGTTTGTGTCTGCTGTCTTCTGGTCAGTTGCCCTGCCCTGTGTCTGTTGTCTTCCTGGTAGTGTCTTGTGTCTGCTGCTTCCTGGTAGTGTCTGTTGTCTGCTGTTTCTGGTTGTGGTCTTGTGGTCTGTTTGTCTTTCCTTGTAGTGTCTTGTTCTGCTGTCTTACTGTAGTGTATTGTGTCTGTTGTATTCCTGGTAGTGTCTTGTGGCTGACTGTTCTTCCTGGTAGGCTGTCTGTGTCTGCTGTTCTTCCTGGTAGTGTCTTGAGTCTTGTTGTATTCCTGGTAGGGTCTTGGTGTCTGCTGTCTTCTGGTAGTGTCTTGTGTCTGCTGTTATTCATGGTAGGGTCTCTGTGTCTGGGTGTTCTTCCTGGTAGTGGTATTGTGTCTGGCTGTATTCCGGGTAGTGTCCTTGTGTTGTCTGTTTTGTCTTTCCTGGTAGTGTTCTTGTGTCTGCTGTTTCATGGTAGTTGTATTGTGTCTTTGTCTTCTGGTAGTGTCTTGTGTCTGTCTGTCTTCCTGGTAGTGTCTTGGGTGTCTGCTGTCTTCCTGGGTAGTGTCTTGTTGTGTCTGTGGTCTTCCTGGTAGTGTCTTGTGTCTGTTGTCTTCTGGTTAGTGTCTTGTGTCTCTGCTGTCTTCATGGTAGTGTATTGGTGTCTGTTGTCTTCCTGGTAGTGTAATGTGTCTGCTGTCTTCATGGTAGGTCTTTGTCGGTTGGTCTTCCCCCTGGTGTTTGTGGCTTGTGTATTGCTGTCTTCCTGGTAGTGTCTCTTGTGTTTGTTGCCTTCCTGGTAGTGTCTTGTGTCTGCTGTCTTCCTGGTAGTGTCTGGTGTCCTGCTGTCTTCCGGTAGTGTTTGTGTCTGTTGCCTTCCTGGGTAGTGTCTTTGTCGGCTGTCTCTTCATGGGTAGTGTTTATGTCTGCTGTCTTCCTGGTAGAGTCTTGTGTATGCTGTCTGCCTGGTAGTGTCTTGTGTCTGCTGTCTTCCTGGTCAGTGTCTTGTTGTTTGTTGCCTTCCTGTAGTTGTCTTGGGTCTCAGTATTCCTGGTTGTGTCTTGTGTCTGCTGTCTTCCTGGTAGTGTTTGTGTATGCTGTCTTCTGGTAGTGTCTTGTGTCTGTTGTTCTTCCTGGTCGTGTCTTGTGTCTGCTGTTTCCTGGTAGTGTCTTGTGTCTGTGGTATTCTGGGTATGTGTCTTGGGTGTGCTGTCTTCCTGGTAGTGTCTTGTGTCTGTTGTCTTCATAGGTTGTGTCTTGTGTCTGTTGTCTTCCTTGTTTTGTCTTGTGGTCTGCTGTCTATTCCTGTAGTGTCTTGTGTCGGTTGTATTCCTGGTAGTTGTCTTGTGCTCTGCTGTCTTCCTGGTAGTGTCTTGTGTCTGTTGTCTTCCTGGTAGTGTCTTGTGTCTGCTGTCTTCCTGGTAGTGTCTTGTGTCTGTTGTCTTCTGGTAGTGCCTTGTGTATGGTGTCTTCTGTAGTGCCTTGTGTCTGACTGTCTTCCTGGTAGTGCCTTGTGTCTGTTGTCCTTCATGGTAGTGACCTTGTTCTGTTGTCTTCTGTTAGTGTCTTGTGTTGATGATCTTCTGGTAGTGTCTTGTGTCTGCTGTCTTCCTGGTTGTGTCTTCGTGTCTGATGTCTTCATGGTAGTGTCTTATGGTGTCTGTTGTCTTCCTGGTAGTGTCTTGTGTCTGCTGTCTTCCTGGTAGTGTCTTGTTGTCTGTTGTCTTCCTGGTTGTGACCTTGTGTCTGTTAGCTTCTGGTAGTGTCTTGTGACTGCTGTCTTCCTGGTAGTGTCTTGTGTCTTGCTGTCTTCCTGGTAGGTTTGTGTACTGGTGTCTTCCTGGTAGTGTCTTGTGTCTGCTTCTTCTGGTATTGTCTGGTGTGCTTGTCTTCCTGGTAGTGTCTTGTGTCTGTTGTCTTCCAGGTAGTGTCCTTGTGTCTGTTGTCTTCCTGGTTGTTTTTTTGTTGCTGTACTTCCTGGTTAGCTCTGTGATTTATAATATATAACTTGTTATACCATGTTGGGCAATAATGAAGCTCATATCACAAATCCTGATGGGAAAACAAAAGTATTAATTGCCGCCACAAACTATGAGGGTGTTGTGCTCGAAAACTCTAGAGGAACTTGCAGACACATTCATAACTTTCAAAACTACAGTTAGTAAAATTTATTCCCTGATCCACACCGGACAACTAATACATGATAAACCACCTGCTGGTGGTTCACAATTACACTCTCTCACCCATGACTTAACGCAGAACTTTAGAATCTTAATCTTAAAATAATTAATCTAACTAGTCATAAGTTTGTCTTGATACTCCAATATTGGACCTATGTATTACCAAAACAAAAGCATTCACTTTGCTTAACTTACAAACTATAATGTAGTCAGTTAGCCTTAATATTATAATCTGTAATAATGTAAAGTTTGGAATTAATTTAAGTCTGCCCGAAATGACTAGCCAAATGCTAGGTGTTCTAGTGGCACCCTCTGAAATTTAGTATTTTAAACATGTAAAACCACACAATATGCAAAATCGTAAACCCCGCATTTTAATCTTTATAGAGAATAAACTTGATTGATTGATTGATATATACGGTGCCTCGTGGCTTGGTGACTAAAGCTCTAGCTTCACACGGTGAGTGTCCGGGTTCGATTCCCGGCGAAGACAGAAACATTGGGCGTGTTTCTTTACACCGGTTGTCAATGTTCCCATCAGTAAAGTGGGTACTTGGGTGTTAGTGGACTGGTGTGAGTCGCATCCTGGGACAAAACTGATCTAACTTACCCGAAATGCTCTGCATAAGAAGGGGCTTTCTATATAGTAGTATGTAATTGATGTCAGCTATGGTCTGTATACCTTGTACTCGTAGAAATAAAGATATCTATTTAATTTTCAACTGTTCAAGGCAACCTCATCAGTCACCCATTCTACTGTATTCACAACAATGAAATGATATCTGTTATTAAGAGGACAGGCTGCAGGTGCATAATAAAGTTCTCAAGGTAATAAAATAATTAAGTCTAACCACTCTTAAAAAAAGTTAAGATAAGATTTCATTCGGATTTTTAACCTGGAGAGTTAGTCACCCGGGATAACCCAAGAAAATCAGTAAATCATATTTCCATTGGAGTCCTTCAATATTGTTCCCCAGGATGTCAAATATACCAGTCGACTAATGCCCAGGTACCTACTTACTGCTAGGTGAACGTAACAGCAGGTGTAAGGAAACACGCCCAATGTTCTCACCCTTGCCGGAGATCGAACCACGGACAGTGTGTGAGGCGAATTACCTTGTACCTAGTTCAGCCATCAAAACTTTGGAGCCCGGTCCCTGGACCCATTGTGTACCTCTGTAATCTGTAAATACCTTTGTAACTTGTCATGATTGTGACTAGACCTACCTGGAGTTCATTACCTTTGTAAATTGTGAGTTCATTACCTTTGTAAATTGTGAATTCATTACCTCTGTAACTTGCTCAGCTATCAAAACTTTGAGGTCCAGTCCCTGGACCCATTATGTACCTCTGTAATCTTTTGACTACCGCCCACAGGATGGGTATGTGGTGCATAATAAACATATTAAACTAACTAACTAACTGTGTGAGGCGAGAGAGTTGCCTACCAGGCATGCTAGTGGCTTCTTTTGTGTCTAACAGTATTGTATTACATATAAACTGCATTTTGTATGCTGCAGAAAGAAATAAGATTTGTTTGTTTGTTTGTTTGTAAAGATGAAAACTACTGACCCACCGCGAGGCCTGGTCACAGACCGGGCCGCGGGGTCGTTGTCCCCCGGAACTCTCTCCAGGTATACCTTGAAAATATCACTAACCTTACAGTTAAGTCTCCTCTCCTTGAAAAATTCTGAGGTTGACTGACTTTTCCTTGACCTCTTGGGATGCATGTCTACTGTACTGCTGGAAGCCAGTTTTATAGCACCCTGCACCCTCAGTCTTGACCTCCTGTGACTAGGATCCTTACCTGTAAACTTAAAATACATGTAAAATGAATTAACTTTCGTCTGTTCAACTACTACTACTACGATTAATACTACTACTACTACATTGTTAATACTACTACTACTACTATTACTTGTATTATTATTACTACTACCACTAGTATTATTACCGTTACTATTGCTACTACCACTACTACTGCTCCGCTCTAGAACAACAGATATTACACCTAGCAAATAAAACCCCCCTAAATTCCATCAATGAAACGACATTTGTCTTTACAAACATACAGGGTCTAAAGCCGTCAACAAACAAAATTCCTTACATCAAGGGACTCCTCGTGGAGTCAAATACGATGTTTGCATTATTATTATTATTATAATCAAGGGGGAAGCGCTAAACCCGGAGGATTATACAGCGCCTGGGGGGGGGATGTGGAAGGCATTCAGGCTTAATTCGGGGAACTGGAGCACAGATCCAATTCCCTAAATCAAGAGCCCCTCACCAACATCAAGGAACCTTCCTTGAGGGGTACGATGTTTGCAGCATTCACAGAGACTCACATAAAGGATCATTATGACAACGAAATATGAATCCCAGGTTATGACCTATTCCAATGCGACAGACTAAACAGGCAATAAGAGGGGGTTGGCCTGTAAGTCACCGAGTCACTCATTTGCTCAGAATTATTAAACAGAGTGCTCCTTATATACTCAGGCATATCACCCTCTACAATGTTGGTAAGTCCTGATTTGTGTGTCTTGTGTGTAACCTGAAGTTTACCTGGAGAGAGTTCCGGGGGTCAACGCCCCCGCGGCCCGGTCTGTGACCAGGCCTCCTGGTGGATCAGAGCCTGATCAACCAGGCTGTTACTGCTGGCTGCACGCAAACCAACGTATGAGCCACAGCCCGGCTGATCAGGAACCGACTTTAGGTGCTTGTCCAGTGCCAGCTTGAAGACTGCCAGGGGTCTGTTGGTAATCCCCCTTATGTATGTTGGGAGGCAGTTGAACAGTCTCGGGCCCCTGACACTTATTGTATGGTCTCTTAACGTGCTAGTGACACCCCTGCTTTTCATTGGGGGGATGCTGCATCGTCTGCCAAGTCTTTTGCTTTCGTAGTGAGTGATTTTCGTGTGCAAGTTCGGTACTAGTCCCTCTAGGATTTTCCAGGTGTATATAATCATGTATCTCTCCCGCCTGCGTTCCAGGGAATACAGGTTCAGGAACTTCAAGCGCTCCCAGTAATTGAGGTGTTTTATCTCCGTTATGCGCGCAGTGAAGGTTCTCTGTACATTTTCTAGGTCAGCAATTTCACCTGCCTTGAAAGGTGCTGTTAGAGTGCAGCAATATTCCAGCCTAGATAGAACAAGTAAATGAATAGTTTAGCCATATTTTGATATATATATATATATATATATATATATATATATATATATATATATATATATATATATATATATATATATATATATATATAAGACGTTGTGAAGCATAATACGAGTGCACCATGCAAATGAAAAAAGTTCAACAAAAGAGTACACTTGGTCCTGCCCGTTTAGGTGATGTTTTCAAGTTTCAGTATATATTTCCATAAAATTTGGTAGTGTATATATGAATTCAGTAATGATCTGGGTGTGTACAGAACGTTTTTATTGTCCTTCCAGATCAATCAGAAATTGTACTACGGTGAGTCCTCCAAGGATAAGTCGAAATTTGTCTGTGTTTGGGGCGACAGTGACTCAGATCAAGACCCAGATGACCTGGATGTGGTGGACACTGATGATAAATACTTGCCACCAGATGCAGAGGTGTCAACAGATGAGGAGGAGGAAGCTGAGCCACCAGCAAAAAAAAAGCAGAAATTGAACAAGAAGAAACGTATTACTGTGGAGGAGTACCCTGATGAAGAAGAGCTTCAAGATGATCTTGCTTCTCAAGGAGACACCCAATGGAAGAATGAGGACATCCAGACTGACCCTTTGCCTGCATATAAACATGTAAAGCCTATTAAAGTTAGGTGTGCATATGATTATTTTACAGGCTTTTTACTCAAGACATGATAGACGACATTGCATTTCAAACTAATTTGTATGCCCAGCAAAAAAACATACATACTACTTTTCAAACAGATTCTGAGGAAATAACTAGGTTCATAGGTATTCTGTTGTATATGGGTTACACTGTACAGCCATCCATTGAGGACTATTGGGGAACTGCAAGTAAGGTAATTCAAGTTGTAGAAGTCATAGGATCAAAGAGGTTTAGGTTGCTGAGGCGTACCATTCATTTCAATGGTAACACACAAAAGAAGGATAATGACAGATTCCACAAAATAAGGCCTCTTTACAATGCACTAACTAAAGCTTGCTTGAAAGTTCCAGCTACACCCAAGCAGTCTGTTGATGAAGTTATGGTTGATTTCAAGGGTAAAACAGCTGGAAACCTAAGGCAATACATCAAAAACAAACCAGACAAGTGGGGTTTCAAACTCTTTTGTCGTGCCAGTGAAGATGGAATCATACACGATATACTCATGTATCAAGGTAACCCAACTTTTGAGAGCCATCACATAAAGCTGCCAATTAAGAAAGTAAACTCCCAATGAAGGTCCCAAGATGTTCTTGTACTTGCAGCACTCTCGACCAAAAAAAAACATCAGCAGTCTATGCTGATAATTTCTTTTCAAGTCTACCTTTGGTCAAGGAACTGAAAAGACAAGTATAACTGCAGGTACATTGGAACAATACGTGATAATAGATACGGTAAGCCACAACTGATGCCTGTGAAACAAATGGAAAAGAGCAATGTGGCCAGGGGCAATTTTGAATTCAAAAGCAATGATGATATTCTTATTGTAAGATGGAAGGACAACAAAGTTGTGACTCTAGTCACAAATGATGTGGGAGTTTATCCTTTGAGTCTCATTGAAAGATATGACAAGGAATCAAAGAAGAAAGACCACTTTGAGTGCCCAGGCATCAAGAACTACAATGCACACATGAGAGGTATAGACATAAGTAACATGTTGGTCCATCTTTACAAAACATCAATGAAATCAAAGCGTTGGTACATGCGGCTGTTTGCTTATGTTCTGGATCTTGCTGTTATGAATGCATGGCTTCTTTACTGTCGTGATTATCGGTCACTAAACCTGCCATGCCAGCCACTGAAGCATTCAGGCTTGACATCTCTATCACTGAAAGATCCAAAGGACAAAAGTCCAACCACACCAGCATGAGACTAACTCAAAGAGATTCACCCAGTACTTCTTTGGTTGACAGTAGTGAGGAATTATCAAACGTGGATTACCCATCTGCATTTCAGTTCCAACGTGCAGCAAGGCCAGATGACAGTGTGAGGTTGGATAAACAGCTAGGTCACTGGCCAGTGCTAGGTAAGCTGCTTTCATGCAAGTTTTGCAGCAAAAAGAATAATCATGTCACATCCTCATTTTCCTGTGCCATATGCACAAAGAAGGATAGAAATTGTTTCATAAAGTTTCATTTGAGAAATTAGTGATGTGAAATGATTGTTCTTTCTCAGGGAACTCAGGAATATTTCATTTGTAAGTTGTATCCCATTGCAATGTGTCATTGTTGATAAGTAGTTCCTATTTCTATTTTTTTAATGCTTACAAATTGTTCAGAAACAAGTTCCATTTATGTTTTTATATTGTCTACTTGTATAATAATTTTTTTTTTAACAATTGCAACCTTGCAACATTTTAAATTGTTATACCCCTAGCGGGCAGGACCGAGTTTACTTGGTCTTCGAATATCTGCAATTGCTCGACATGTAACTTTAACAACTCCTTTTAGATGGCCTCAGTGACCTTACATCGAGCGGCTCTATCCCCTCATAGGAAATCACTTTCAAATTTGCATTTTAGTCTGCCTTGCCCCTTGAAGGGATAAGAGGGGGTTGGCCTGTAAGTCACCGAGTCGCTCATTTGCTCAGAACTACTAAACACCTCAAATGATGTAGTCGAAGTTTTGGCAGTAAAGACTGAAAAACAAAACCTTGTCATTGTGATAGTATACAAGCCTCCAGATGCAACTTCCCAGCAATTCCAGGAACAGCTTGAGAAAATTGACCACTGTCTTAAAAATCTCCCAACTCCTGCCCCAAACATCTTGCTACTGGGAAATTTCAGCTTGAGACACCTATAATGGAGGAGTGTAGCAAATAATATTTTAGCAGAGATCACCCCAGGAGGCAGATACTCAAAAATCAGGGACAAAGGGATTAATGTACAATTGCTATGGATCCCATTACACATTGGATTACTCCTTCATGATAAAGTTGATATGTTAGCCAAGAAGAGTACCCAGAAGGAGAATGTAGAATATAACTTTGGTATATCTGTGTCTAGCATTAGGAATAATATTAGGAGAGAAATAAATAACGAAAATGATTGTTATAGGAATGCAGTTAGAAGCCAGAGTAGATCTATAACCCACTATGATAACATAAACGTAGATAAGTATGTTTATGGAGCAACTTGCAATGTGAAAAGACTGACTGATGTTGTAGTGGAAATTACTAAGCAAATTTCCTAAATTTGCTTGTAACAGATAAGTGAACTGTAGATATGTAGATATAAACCCATATGTACACCTTTTGGGACTTAGTTCCTAGGCCTTTTATGTATCCATATGCTCTTGCGCTACCGTCCACAGGATGGATACGGGGTGCACAATATACTAGCCACTTCAGTGGCGAAATCTAAAAATCTAGGAGGCAGCTCAGATGAAAATTCACACACACACGAGCTATTAAATCTCTGCACCAAATTCACCTTAAACCAGCAAATACTAGAGCCAACAAGACTAGAAAATACGCTGGACTTCATCTTCACTAACAACGACGATCTGATCCGTAATATAACCGTATCAAAGACAATGCACTCAGACCAAAACATAACAGAAGTACAGACATGTATGCACAGGGCTCCTGACCAGCAAAATGTGATCAGTCATGAGGGTGTCTTCACAAAATTCAATTTCAATAACAAAAACATATAATGGGAACAAGTCTACCGTGTCCTAAATGAAACAAGCTGGGAAGATATCCTAAACAACACGGATCCGAACATTTGCCTAGAAAAAATAAACTGTGGTTCTTGAGATCTGCTCAAGGTATAGATTATTCAGAAAAAGAAAGAGAAGATGTAAACTAGAAAGAGAGAGATGCTCCCTATACAGATAAAGGCGAAGAGTCACATCTGCTGAGAGGAGCCAATATTTCTGAAATACGAAGGAAGGCACTGGTCAATGAAATTACATATATCGAACTTAAGCTGAAGGATGGAAATAAATGGTATAAAATACCAACACAATGGAGGAATCTTATAGGAAACAAAAATCGCAGGAAGAACTAAAAGCCATAAAGGAAATGGAAAAAAAAACAAAGTACTTCTTCTCTTATGCCAAATCTAAGGGAAAAACAACATCCAGTATTGGTCCCCTGCTAGGCGAAATGGGACATACACAGATGACACCCAAGAATGAATCTTAACTAGTCATAAGTTGGCCTGTGATACTCCAATACTGAAACTATGTATAGTGCCAAAACAAAATCAATCACATTGTTAAACTCACAAACTAGTATTTAGTCACTTAGCCATAATACCAACTAACCTCATAATTTTGTAATATTTTAAACTTAAGATTTAATTTAAGTCTGCCCGAAATGCCTAGCCATGCTAGGTGTTCTAGTGGTACACTCTGTAATTATTATTTTACTACATGTAAACCACACGATAACCAAATTCTGTAACTCAGCATTGTAATCCTTATAGAGAATAAATTTTGAATTGAAGAAATGAGTGAGATACTAAAGTCCCAGTAGGACTCAGTGTTCAGCGAGCCGCTACCCAGACTAAGGGTTGACAATCCGAGCGAATTCTTTATGAATGAGACTCAAAATGAGACTTTATGAATGAGACTCAAAAATCTCGGATATTATCCTAACACCACAAGATTTGACGTGCCCATGCACTCTGTCCCACGCCCTGACTCACGGAACTCCATGTTCATCAAGAACTGCAAGAAGCCCCTGTCACGTGCCTTCAGCATTTTATGGAGAGGGAGCATGGACACAGAGGTTATCCCACACACACTAAAAACAACAGACAGCCCCACTGCACAAAGGAGGCAGTATAGCAATTGCAAAGAACTACAGACCGATAGCACTAACATCCCATATTATAAAAATCTTTGAAAGGGTTCTAAGAAGAAATATCGCCAACCACCTAGATACCCATCAATTACACAACCCAGGGCAACACGGGTTTAGAGCAGGTCGCTCCTGCCTGTCCCAGCTACTGGACCACTATGACAAGGTCCTGGATGCTGTAGAGGATAAACAAAATACGGATGTAATATACATAGACTTTGCAAAAGCTTTCGACAAGTGTGACCACGGTGTCGTAGCGCACAAAATGCGCGATAAAGGAATAACAGGAAGAGTTGGTAGATGGATCTATAACTTCCTGACAAATAGAACACAAAGAGTAATAGTAAACAGAGTAAAGTCCCAGGCAGCTCTCGTGAAAACCTCTGTTCCAGAAGGCACAGTACTCGCTCCCAGTCTATTCCTCATCCTCATTTCTGACATAGACAGAGATGTAAGCCATAGCTCCGTGTCCTCCTTTGAGGATGATGCCCGGATTGCCATGATAGTGACCTCCATCGAAGACACAGCAAGACTCCAAGCGGACAACCAAATCTTCCAATGGGCCATTCAAAACAATTTGAAGTACAATGAAGAAAAATTTCAACTACTCAGATATGGACTACTTGAGGAAATTAAAACTGTATGAGGGTATACGACAAATTCTAACCATACAATAGAGCGAAAAAGTAATGTGAAGGACCTGGGAGTGATAATGTCAGAGGATCACGCCTTCAAAGACCACAACAATGTAGCTACCTTATCCGCTAGGAAAATTATAGGATGGATAATGAGAACCTTGAAAACTAGGGACGCCAAGCCAGTGATGATTCTCTTCAAATCGCTTGTGCTCTCTAGGCTGGAATACTGCTGTACACTAACAGCCCCCTTCAAGGTAGGCGAAATTGCTGACCTGGAGAGTGTACAAAGAACTTTCACGGCACACATAACTACGATAAGGCACCTAAATTACTGGGAACGGTTGAAGGTCCTTGATATGTATTCCCTGGAATGCAGGCGAGAGAGATACATGATAATATACACTTGGAAAATCCTTGAGGGATTAGTAGCAACCTTGCACATGAAAATCATTCCCCATGAAAGCAAAAGACTCGGCAGGAGATGCAACATTCCCCCAATAAAAAACAGGGGTGCCACGGGTACACTGAGAAAAAACACAGTAAGTGTCAGGGGCCCAAGATTGTTTAACTGCCTCCCAGCATACATAAGGGGGACTACCACTAGACCCCTGATTGTCTTCAAGAAGGCACTGGGCAGTCACCTAAAGTCAGTACCTGACCAGCCGGGCTGTGCTCGTACGTCAGTTTTCTTGCGGCCGGCAGTAACAGCCTGGTTGATTAGACCCTTATCCACCGCGAGGCCTGGTCACAGACCGGGCCGCGGGGGCGTTGACCCCTGAAACCCTCTCCAGGTATACTATTACTATTATAGTACTACTACTACTACTACTACCATCATTTCTACTATTACTACGATTATTATTATTATTATTACTACTACTACTACCCTTTCCTACTACCACTGCTACTAATAGTACGACCAATACTACTACTCCTACTACCACCAATACTATTACTACTACTAGTACTACTATTAATACTACTAGTGCTGTTACTATTACTACTACTAGTAGTAGTTACACTAAATTGTACTACCGTCTATCACATAATAATAATAGAGTGAATTATAAAATATTTATATTCTATCACTGTAAAAGAACTTAATTACGAACTTAAAAATGTAAGAGTGCATCATAAACTGTACTACCTAATATTAATAATAGAGTGAAATATTGACTAATTGTATTATACAACTCTTCATCTGTCTAGACTTAAGTAATTTATAGTAAATTTATTCAGGTATACACAAATAGAGTTACATAGATTATCATACATAACAATATATAGAGAGAGAACCTGGGAAAACCCCAAAAAATCAGTGATTTATGTCTGCCCGAAATACCTGGGCATAATAGTGACTTTCTTTACTCCAATCATATTATAATATATAAACACACATTGTAACCTTAGCAGAGAAATAAATAATTTTAATATTATTTATAATGTTAGATAGTTACCTTATCCCTAGTAATGACCCTCGTATTGTAGATAGTCTTAATGACCTTGGTGTAGCAGATAGTCTTTTTAGTATGATAATAAGATGTTATCTTCATTGTAGAATAATAAGAAAATATTATAACCTTTATACTATAATAATAAGGTAAAAGGACCCCAATGGAAATAAGTCACTCTGTCTGACTTTTTTGGGTTATCCCAGGTTCTCTACACATATGCTGCTATGTATGATAATTCTATGTAACTGTATTGTGTATACCTGAATAAATTTACTTACTTACTTACTTACTTACTTACTTATAGTGTGGTGTTTACATGGTGACGTCAGAGCAGCGCAATATTTCGAACACTGGTCCGTTGATGGCTGCTGTTGCTGCCTCTCACACTCCACACATAATCATGTTTTTTATCTCAACCATCACTTTATAAGCTTACTCCATCACACTACATAAGTGAGTTACTATGGTGCTCTCAAGTGTTGTATAATGGCCACGGTTTACTCTTGTAGTTTTATAGGGAATACCATATAAATGATCGCTTGGGAGTGTTGCTTGTGTTGCAGGTAATCCAGGTCGAGTTACACTACTTTTTGCATGAATATCAATTGTTTTACATGGTAATATACGTGTAAATTACCTAGGGTAACATATAAAGTCAAAAAAAGTGACATTTCCATTTCCTTGTGATGCCTGTTACCCTCGTTGATTATTAACCCGAGGGTTAATAACCCAGTCAAGTCTGAGTTATTTCCATTGAAGTCCTTTAATCTTCTACCCCAGGATGCAACCCACACCAGTTCCCTAACACTTGGGGTAAGATTTATTGGTATTTTTAACCCGGAAGAGGGTAAGCCACCTAGGATAACCCAATCAAGTCTGTCATTGAGGACTTAGTAATTTTATTTAGATAGTTTCATAAATTCAGGTGACTACAATTATTATACATAGTAACGTGTGTAAATTACTGAAGATAACCCAAAAAAAAGTCAGTGACTTATTTTCATTGGGATCCTTGTAATGTCTTGTTTAGAGCCTAGCTGTCTGTCTTATTCCTATTGTGGTCCTTTACTCTGGTCCCCCAGGATGCCACCCACACCAGTCAACTAACACCCAGGTACCTATTTACTGCTAGGTGAACAGTACCAGCAGGTACAAGGGCATGTATTCTACTTGTGCTAGTGACTGAACCCTGGTCTCTGTGTGAGCTGAGGACTTTATTAATTAAACTTTAATTTAAGTCTCTTGCTATTTAAACCCAAGATGGGAGGTTCCTTGATCCTGGGTAGAGGCTCTTGATCCTGGTGAGTTGATCTTCCTCTCACCTTCCTTGCATTGAACCTGATTGTCTCCCAATTCCTTGGTAGTTGCATAGTGCTCCCATGAATGTTAATATACTGTATTAAAGTTGTTAACAATCTCTGTATTTGTTCCAGCTCTGACATTTCTCCTGCTTTGAACGGGGACGTCAGCACTGAGCAATATATAATTGTATACGTAATTGATATGTGCTAGTGCGTATACTAGTCCTCGTCCATGGCTGACTCGGGTGTGATTTACTCGCTGTAACAGCCATGTTTCCTCTACATTCTGTACTTTGATAGGTTCAGAATAAGACCAATATAGATGGATTTCAACAGTGGTGCAGCCAAACTAGAGCTTTTGCCATGGCTATAAACATTGACAATTTGAACCCGGCTACAAAACATGGTCAGCCCATTGCCAGTTGGCATTGCAATAAATAAGAGCAAGAACTTTATCTATATGAAGCCAGCAATGCTCTTCTCCCAAAATACTACAGGGATTATACACTATGTGCTGATCTGAATCTGCTTAAGCCTCTGACAGATTTATACAGGCCTCAAAACACATGTAGTCATTTTGACCTGCTTCCTAAATGCAACATTTTTTCTGGAAATCAAGGTGGGACAAGAACATATAGTAGTAAATTATTACTTACTCTTATTAGTAGTAGTAACAGTAGTGCAGGTATTTGTATTATATTTTATTTTATTATTTTGAAAGCTGCTTTAGGCTACAATGAAGTGTTCACTTCACAGATGGCTATAATTTGTTGACTCCCAGTCTTTCTACTGCATGGCAGAAACTCATTGTCTTTCTAAATCCTTGGGGAGCATTTGGAATGATAGAATTTGGCTTATTGATTACTACACCAAACAGTACAAGACGCACCAACCTTTTTAGAGGTGTACAAGGATGAGGAAAATCTCAGAACAGGCACTGTATACATGTATATGTTTGGCACATACAAAATCTCACTACTGTATAGTGAAACTGTAAATTCATTATATGATAAATTTGTGTAATCATTGGATATTTTACCAGATGAATTCAAGAATTGTAAAATTTGTTTCAGTTACAGTTTTACTTTTATTAATCTGTAATTTGTTTTTAACTATTTTTACTTCCTGTCACTACCTTGTGCTGGGCTCATAAGTGTAGAAAACACCATAGCTATGTAATATTTTTGGTATAAAAGTAGTTTTTTACTTCTAGTCTTTTACATGAAATGCTGTGTTTACTACATATTGGCTTTTGAAACTTTACATTTCTGTATAATATTTTGAAAATTAAATTTTTAATTTGAATGTTCAGAGGAAAGTAAACATGAATAATTTTTAACTTTGACCTATACTCCCATGTATTTTTCAGTGGAACATAATATAAACGAGGCCACAACATAGCTTCCCAAGCCGAACAAATAACCTTTAATACTTGCAAGAAAGTGATCAACCTATGAGTCTACGTACACTTCTGATGAATCATGAATTGTACTCTGCTGTAAAATTCACATGAAATAACTTGGACAAAAATAAGATCATCTTCCCCCACAAGTCGCTAGAGACAGTGACTGTAAGGTAAAACACAAGAAGTTTATTAACTTAAAGATGCCAAACTTCTTTTAACAAAATGCAAGGCTGGGTGCTCAAACTTTTGCATTTCAAATTCTTTTACACACTTTGGTCACACTTCACAGACACACACATGCATATATATATATATACATACATCTAGGTTTTTCTCCTTCTTCTAAATAGCTCTTGTTCTTCTTTATTTCTTCTATTGTCCATGGGGAAGTGGAAAAGAATCTTTCCTCCGTAAGCCATGCGTGTCGTATGAGGCGACTAAAATGCCGGGAGCAATGGGCTAGTAACCCCTTCTCCTGTAGACACTTATTAAAAAAGAGAAGAAGAAAAACTTTATAAAACTGGGATGCTTAAATGTGCGTGGATGTAGTGCGAATGACAAGAAACAGATGATTGCTGATGTTATGAATGAAAAGAAGTTGGATTCCTGGCCCTAAGCGAAACAAAGCTGAAGGAGGGTAGGAGAGTTTCAGTGGGGGGAAATAAATGGGATTAAATCTGGAGTATCTGAGAGAGTTAGAGCAAAGGAAGGGGTAGCAGTAATGTTAAATGATCAGTTATGGAAGGAGAAAAGAGAATATGAATGTGTAAATTCAAGAATTATGTGGATTAAAGTAAAGGTTGGATGCGAGAAGTGGGTCATAATAAGCGTGTATGCACCTGGAGAAGAGAGGAATGCAGAGGAGAGAGAGAGATTTTGGGAGATGTAAGTGAATGTATAGGAGCCTTTGAACCAAGTGAGAGAGTAATTGTGGTAGGGGACCTGAATGCTAAAGTAGGAGAAACTTTTAGAGAGGGTGTGGTAGGTAAGTTTGGGGTGCCAGGTGTAAATGATAATGGGAGCCCTTTGATTGAACTTTGTATAGAAAGGGGTTTAGTTATAGGTAATACATATTTTAAGAAAAAGAGGATAAATAAGTATACAAGATATGATGTAGGGCGAAATGACAGTAGTTTTGTTGGATTATGTATTGGTAGATAAAAGACTGTTGAGTAGACTTCAGGATGTACATGTTTATAGAGGGCCACAGATATATCAGATCACTTTCTAGTTGTAGCTACACTGAGAGTAAAAGGTAGATGGGATACAAGGAGAATAGAAGCATCAGGGAAGAGAGAGGTGAAGGTTTATAAACTAAAAGAGGAGGCAGTTAGGGTAAGATATAAACAGCTATTGGAGGATAGATGGGCTAATGAGAGCATAGGCAATGGGGTCGAAGAGGTATGGGGTAGGTTTAAAAATGTAGTGTTAGAGTGTTCAGCAGAAGTTTGTGGTTACAGGAAAGTGGGTGCGGGAGGGAAGAGGAGCGATTGGTGGAATGATGATGTAAAGAGAGTAGTAAGGGAGAAAAAGTTAGCATATGAGAAGTTTTTACAAAGTAGAAGTGATGCAAGGAGGGAAGAGTATATGGAGAAAAAGAGAGAGGTTAAGAGAGTGGTGAAGCAATGTAAAAAGAGAGCAAATGAGAGTGGGTGAGATGTTATCAACAAATTTTGTTGAAAATAAGAAAAAGTTTTGGAGTGAGATTAACAAGTTAAGAAAGCCTAGAGAACAAATGGATTTGTCAGTTAAAAATAGGAGAGGAGAGTTATTAAATGGAGAGTTAGAGGTATTGGGAAGATGGAGGGAATATTTTGAGGAATTGTTAAATGTTGATGAAGATAGGGAAGCTGTGATTTCGTGTATAGGGCAAGGAGGAATAACATCTTGTAGGAGTGAGGAAGAGCCAGTTGTGAGTGTGGGGGAAGTTCGTGAGGCAGTAGGTAAAATGAAAGGGGGTAAGGCAGCCGGGATTGATGGGATAAAGATAGAAATGTTAAAAGCAGGTGGGGATATAGTTTTGGAGTGGTTGGTGCAATTATTTAATAAATGTATGGAAGAGGGTAAGGTACCTAGGGATTGGCAGAGAGCATGCATAGTTCCTTTGTATAAAGGCAAAGGGGATAAAAGAGAGTGCAAAAATTATAGGGGGATAAGTCTGCTGAGTATACCTGGTAAAGTGTATGGTAGAGTTATTATTGAAAGAATTAAGAGTAAGACGGAGAATAGGATAGCAGATGAACAGGGAGGCTTTAGGAAAGGTAAGGGGTGTGTGGACCAGGTGTTTACAGTGAAACATATAAGTGAACAGTATTTAGATAAGGCTAAAGAGGTCTTTGTGGCATTTATGGATTTGGAAAAGGCGTATGACAGGGTGGATAGGGGGGCAATGTGGCAGATGTTGCAAGTGTATGGTGTAGGAGGTAGGTTACTGAAAGCAGTGAAGAGTTTTTACGAGGATAGTGAGGCTCAAGTTAGAGTATGTAGGAAAGAGGGAAATTATTTCCCAGTAAAAGTAGGCCTTAGACAAGGATGTGTGATGTCACCATGGTTGTTTAATATATTTATAGATGGGGTTGTAAGAGAAGTAAATGCGAGGGTCTTGACAAGAGGCGTGGAGTTAAAAGATAAAGAATCACACACAAAGTGGGAGTTGTCACAGCTGCTCTTTGCTGATGACACTGTGCTCTTGGGAGATTCTGAAGAGAAGTTGCAGAGATTGGTGGATGAATTTGGTAGGGTGTGCAAAAGAAGAAAATTAAAGGTGAATACAGGAAAGAGTAAGGTTATGAGGATAACAAAAAGATTAGGTGATGAAAGATTGAATATCAGATTGGAGGGAGAGAGTATGGAGGAGGTGAATGTATTCAGATATTTGGGAGTGGACGTGTCAGCGGATGGGTCTATGAAAGATGAGGTGAATCATAGAATTGATGAGGGAAAAAGAGTGAGTGGTGCACTTAGGAGTCTGTGGAGACAAAGAACTTTGTCCTTGGAGGCAAAGAGGGGAATTTATGAGAGTATAGTTTTACCAACTCTCTTATATGGGTGTGAAGCATGGGTGATGAATGTTGCAGCGAGGAGAAGGCTGGAGGCAGTGGAGATGTCATGTCTGAGGGCAATGTGTGGTGTGAATATAATGCAGAGAATTCGTAGTTTGGAAGTTAGGAGGAGGTGCGGGATTACCAAAACTGTTGTCCAGAGGGCTGAGGAAGGGTTGTTGAGGTGGTTCGGACATGTAGAGAGAATGGAGCGAAACAGAATGACTTCAAGAGTGTATCAGTCTGTAGTGGAAGGAAGGCGGGGTAGGGGTCGGCCTAGGAAAGGTTGGAGAGAGGGGGTAAAGGAGGTTTTGTGCGCGAGGGGCTTGGACTTCCAGCAGGTATGCATTAGCGTGTTTGATAGGAGTGAATGGAGACAAATGGTTTTTAATACTTGATGTGCTCTTGGAGTGTGAGCAAAGTAACATTTATGAAGGGGTTCAGGGAAACCGGCAGGCCGGACTTGAGTCCTGGAGATGGGAAGTACAGTGCCTGCACTCTGAAGGAGGGGTGTTAATGTTGCAGTTTAAAAACTGTAGTGTAAAGCACCCTTCTGGCAAGACAGTGATGGAGTGAATGATGGTGAAAGTTTTTCTTTTTCGGGCCACCCTGCCTTGGTGGGAATCGGCCAGTGTGATAATAAAAAAAAAAAAAAAAAACTTCTTCAAGGAGGGTTGTTGGAAAGACATGCAGAGGATTCCTTTATTTGTACATTTCACCAATCGGAGCTTTTTCAAGTACATCTGATGAGTGGAGTTTTGTGTAAATAGAGAATTCTGCATTAATGCCTCTTTTTTTTTAAATCGACTGGCAACAGTCATTGTCTCCAACTTCAAGGAGGGTGCTGATGAAGTTGTTGATCCAAGGAGTTACAGCTACCCTCCCCCTTCCTTAAATCAAACCTGATTACCCCTTGTTCATCAGATGCTATATGACTACAGGTTTAGCATTTCCACATGAATATAAGATCTGCCCCCTTCTATCCCTTCCTGGGACAGTCCTTCACACCTTCCACTCCATATTTGCATGCCCTCTTGATCACAGTACATTTATATACCTTAGAAAAGTTAGCATTTAATTAATCTTACCAAGCCAACATAGTACAGTGGCTATCACACTTGTCAGCACACTGGCATGTAGTCTTAGTACAGGCTTGCCATGGGTTTGAACCCCATGTAATTTTTTTTTTTTTTTAAACACTTCAACCATTTCCCACCGGGGCAGGGTGATCCAAAAAGAAAGAAAATAAAACTTTCATCATCATTCAACACTTTCACCATCATTCATACATAATCACTGTCTTTGCAGAGGCACTCAGATACAACAGTTTAGATGTCATTCCAAACAGACAATTCTCGGTTATTTACAATAATTTTATTACAGTTTTGCAAGACGTGCAATTGAGTTGGTGCCTCCATAATCTGATACATTCCCATTTTCCATCTATTGACATATGTTCTTCCAGAGTCCATGATTGATACCCAAGCGATTCACCTCGTCTTTCACAAATCCATTTGGTGGCACTTGCCTAAATATCTAAATACATTTATAGTACAGTGGTTTTATGATACTAATCCATTCCAGGTATATTGTAACTCAAACCCCAGAATACATAGTTTTATGGTAATTTGTTTCAAGACTCTCACAAATGCAAGTTCTACTGTACCTTAGACTTGAAGAGTTGGTGGTGTGGTGGTGGGAGAGGAAGTTACTGGTTGGAAGGAGAAGCTCCTTCCCACTGCTACCTCTTGGGGAAAAAAGCTATCCCAAGTTGTTTCTGTTGTTGTCGTCCAGGCTCTTAAAATAAGATAAAATATTATCTTCAAAAACACAGGAAATTTCAGTTTTATTCAATGTCTGGGTGTTTTCTTATGATTATTTTCAGACCTTTGTAATGAGTAAACAACTGAATTTCATCAGCCACTTTAATATTTTTTTATAATTTTGTTTTGCTTGGTTATAGTAGAGATGGTTGATTGTGGAAAACCATATTCATGCACCAATGCAATAATTCTAATTCCTTCATCATATTTTTCAAAATTTCTTGCTTGATCTTCAGAGAAATTGCCTATTTACTCTGTACTTTAGAGGCCATGATAACATGACTTGGTAACACAAAAGATGGTGTAATTAAGTCACAAATGCAGTTATAAAGAATACATAATCTAGAATTGGTGCTGGCCACATACCTGGTATGACTCACGAAATCATAATGACATGATTGCAAACAAACCGTACCACGGGTGTGGGTTAGAACCTGCGATCAGAGAGTCATAAAACTCCAGACTGTCGCGTTAGCCACTGGGCTACTTAGTTGGATGAATCTTAATCTTATGTAGCTAGCTGGCCCAGTGGCTAATGCAACGGTCTGGAGTTTTACGACTCTCTGATCGCGTGTTTCTAATCCCACCCGTGGTATGGTTTAACATACCTGGTAGCTTCAAATGATGCTATTGGCCAAGACCCATTGCTGATTAGCCACAAAGCTACCCCCACTGATGCTCTTATTGGCTCATACACTGCCCAAGAGGCAGGCTACTGCATCATTGGTAGGCTGAGCCCCACCCACACATGCCAACCATTTTATGCATATCGTCTCAAATTTTTCATTTCGACTCGATGCTCAATTCCTTTATGAAGATAAATCATAACTCAAAATTATTGTAACTCCAAACTCCTACTTTTGGAGCTCATTTTTCAGAATCCTCCAAGCAAAGAGCAGCTATGACAGCTCCCACTTGATATTAATTTTATAAGCTACTAATACTGCACTTTTCCCTAAAACTTTAATTCCCTTTTACAACTATATTGTGACCAAAGGTGTATCCCTATCTAAAACCCACATTTACTGGAAAATACAGTACAGTGGATCCCTGGTTTAAGATATTATTTCATTCCAGAAGTATGTTCAGGTGCCATTACTAAACGAATTTGTTCCCATAAGGAATATTGTGAATTAGATTAGTCCATTTCAGACCCCCAAACATACACGTACAAATGCACTTACATAAATACACTTACATAATTGGTCGCATTGGGAGCTGATCGTAAACCGGGGGTCCACTGTATTTGCCTTCTCTCCTTCACTGGTAATTTAGTCCAAGATCCTCCTTTTCCTTGTAATTTTATGTTTATACTTTACCACCTTTTTACATGCATTTGCACAATTAGCCACATCTCACCTGTGTCCACAGTATCATAGCCTGTTTTTCAAATTCTACCTGATTTGGTAGAAGACTGCCAGTGTATTAAAATCTTTTTTAATGTACAGCTCACTTGTATGCTTTAATATAAATTCTTGATCAATGCATTATTTTCCTTCCTAAATCCATTGTGTACATCTGCAAGTTCTGTCTTTACCATAACTTTTTTTTTTTATTCTATCATATACTTTTCCTGGTATAATTTTCTTATAGTTCTTGCTTAACAATAGTTACCTTAGGGACACAAGTTGAAATCAACAGAGGTCAGAAATGGAATAATTACGGAGGACATGAAAACTAGCAACTCAAGATCACGGTTATTAGTGATTATGTATTTGTAACTACAGGATCAGAGCAAAGCTCATGATCAAGTTCACTGTCAATGAATCATTGCCAATGGATATTGTGAAGGAAAACCATCGTGATGCAAAAATGGCAGACAGGCACTTAACTCCTAATTACTGATCACTTGGTTAACACAGTAGGAATATTGCCAGAATCAATAATTGCAGATGCAATTCACAGTTACTCTGATACAATTCACTGAATGAATCTCAGCACAAATTTAAATAGGGTCCTTGCATAGCAAATAGTGTACCATGATTAAATGACATTATTTATGCACACTTCTATAAGGACTATGATAAGTAACACACAGGTGAAGAGAATAGCAACACCTGGTATTTGAAACAAAATTCTCTCCTGAACTGAGGCATGGGTGATGAATAGGCAATAGAGAACATGCATAAATAGGGAAAAATTGGAGTGAGGACTTGTCACACGTGACATTCCACAAGGATCAACATTGGGCCCCTTGTTCACAGTCTGTATAAATGATCCAGACAAAGGAATGAATAACAGAAATAAAGTTGGGCAGCAAATTCTGAGGCTGATACCATGGAACTTGGGGATAATTTGGATAGGTTAATGTGGTGAGAATAATTGCACATATGGTTCAGTGTAGACAAATGTAAGGTAGCCCTGGGAAAATTAAATAGGTGCAGTACAACACAGTACAGTGGGCCCCTTGGTTATCAGCCAACCAGCTTATCAGCCGGGTTTTTGGCTCCCGGTTATTGGCCGTTATTTCGCTTATCAGCCGTATGGTACATGTCAGCCCTCCACCGCCAGCCACTCGCTTGTCAATCTGGCTTTGCCTCTGGGCAAGTGAGGAAGCTTCTGCTCATTCATCCAAACATTTCTCTATAATTCATTGATTTTCATGGTTATCGATAAAGGAGGCGACGAACCTTTTTTTAGCGATAAAAAAATTGAAATTGAAGAATTATGGAAAACTGTTTTCTTACTAAAAATAGTGCATAATTCTGGCAACATGTTGATGGAATCAGCTTGTTTCTATCATATTTCTAAGTATGTTTTTCCACAAATGTAATTTTTTTGTTCTTGCTGTCAGCAAGAGGACATACCTGGAGAGAGTTTCGGGGGTCAATGCCCCTGTGGCCCAGTCTGAGACCAGGCGTCATGGTGGATCAGGGTCTGATCAACCAGGCTGTTACTGCTGGCTGCACGCAAGCTGATGTATGCACCACAGCCTGGTTAGTCAGGTACTGACTTTAGGTGTCTGTCTAGTGCCTTCTTGAAGACAGCCAGGGGTTTATTGGTGATCATCCCTTATGTATGCTGGGAAGCACTTGAACAGTCTTGGGCCCCTGACACTTATTGTGTTGTCTCTGTGTACTTGTGGCACCCCTTCTTTTCATCAGGGGAATGTTGCATCTCCTGCTGAGCCTTTTGCTTTCATAGGGAGTGATTTTCGTGTGCAAGTTTGGTACTAATCCCTCCAGGACCTTCGAAGTGTATATTATCATGTATCTCTTGCCTGCTTTCCAAGGAATACAGATCAAGGACCTTCAACTGTTCCCAGTAGTTTAGGTGCCTTATCGTACTTATGTGTGCCGTGAAAGTACTTTGTGCACTCTCCAGCTCTGTAATGTTGCCAGCCTTGAAGGGGGCCATTAGTGTACAGTAGTACTCCAGCCTAGAGAGCACAAGTGATTTGAAGAGAATCATCATGGGCTTGGCATCCCTAGTTTTGAATGTTCTTATTATCCATCCTATCATTTTCCTGGCGGATGAGGTAGATACATTGTTGTGGTCTTTGAAGGCGAGATCCTCTAACATTATCACTCCCAGTTCCTTCACATTACTTTTCCACTCTATTGTATGGTTAGAATTTGTCGTATACCCTGACACATTTTTAATTTCAAGTTTCCCATATCTGAGTAGTTGAAATTTCTCCTCGTTGAACTTCATATTGTTTTAAGTGGCCCATTCGAAGATTTGGTTGATGTGCACTTGGAGTCTCGAGGTGTCTTCAATGGAGGTCACTGCCATGGTAATCCGGGTGTTATCCGCAAAGGAAGACACGGAGCTATGGTTTACATCTCTGTCTATGTCAGAAATGAGGATGAGGAATAAAATGGGAGCAAATACTGTGCCTTGTGGAACAGAGCTTTTTTACTGTGGCTGCCTCAGAGTATACTCTGTTTACTATTACTCTTTGTGTTCTATTTGTCAGGAAGTTGTAGATCCATCCACCAGCTTTTCCCATTATTCCTTTATCATTCATTTTGTGTGCTATTACACCTTGATCACACTTGTCGAAAGCTTTTGCAAAGTTTGTGTATACTACATCTGTATTTTGTTTATCCTCTACAGCATCTAGGACCTTGTCATAGTGGTCCAGTAGCTGGGACAGGCAGGAGTGACCTGCTCTAAACCCGTGATGCCCTGGGTTGTGTAATTGATGAGTATCTAGGTAGTTGGCTATCTTGCTTCTTAGAACCCTCTCAAAGATTTTTATGATATGGGGTGTTAGTGCTATCAGTCTGTAGTTCTTTGCAATTGCTTTACTGCCACCTTTGCGGAGTGAGGCTATGTCTGTTGTTTTTAGTGTGTGTGGAATTACCCTCATGTCCATGCTCCCTCTCCATAAAATGCTGAAGGCACGTGATAGGGTCTTTTTGCAATTCTTGATGAACACGGAGTTCCACGAGTCTTTGCCTGGGACATAGTTCATGGGCATGTCATTAATTGCCTCTTCAAAGTCTTGTGGAATTAGAATATTATCCGAGATCTTTCAGATAACCAAATTTTGGGTTTCATTCATAAAGAATTCATTTGAATTGTTGACCCTTAGTCTGGACAGCGGCTCGCTGAACACTGAGTCATATTAGGACTTTAGTATCTCACTCATTTCTTGGCTGTCATCTGTGTATGTCCCATCCTGCCTAAGCAGCAGCCCAATACTGGATGTTGTTTTTCCCTTACATTTGGCATAAGAGAAGAATTTTTTTTTTTTCAATTTCCTTTATAGCTTTTAGTTCTTCCTGTGATTCTTGTCTCCTGTAAGATTCCTTCAGCTTAAGTTCGATATTTGCAATTTCATTGACTAGTGCCTCCCTTCGTATTTCAGATACAGTGGACCCCCGCCTTATGAATGCATCGCGTTACGTTAAATCCGCCATACGAAGCATTTGAACACAAAAATTTTGCCTCGCCTCACAATAAAGAACTCGCCTTATGTTATTCGTCCGGGCCATGTCCCACGTGTAACCTCAGCTGCCCCATGGGTGCCAGTGTTTACAAGCCAGCCAGTGAGGTCGCATCTAAGCATACATTCGGTACATTTCATATTATCACAGTGTTTTTAGTGCTTGTAACTGCAAAATAAGTCACCATGGGCCCCAAGAAAGCTTCTAGTGCCAACTCTGTGGTAAAAAGGGTGAAAATTACTATGGAAATGAAGAAAGAGATAATTGCTAATAACGAAAGTGGAGTGCGTGTTTCGGAGCTGGCCAGGTTGTATACCAAACCCCAATCAACCATCACTACTATCTTGGCCAACAAAACGGCAATCAAGAAAGCTGTTTTTGCAAATGGTGCAAGTTTGTTTTCGAAACAGAGATCGCAAGTGATAGAAGATGTTGAGAGACTGTTATTGGTGTGGATAAACGAAAAACAGATAGCAGGAGATACCATCTCTCAAGCAATCATATGTGAAAAGGCTAGGAAGTTGCATGATGATTTAATTAGAAAAATGCCTGCAACTAGTGGTGATGTGAGTGAATTTAAGGCCAGCAAAGGTTGGTTTGATAGATTTAAGAATCGTAGTGGCATACATAGTGTGATAAGGCATGGTGAGGCTGCCAGTTCGGACCAAAAAGAAACTGAAAAATATGTGATAGAATTCAAGGAGTACATAGACATTGAAGATTTGAACCCTGAACAAGTGTTTAATTGTGACAAAACAGGCCTGTTTTAGAAGAAAATGCCAAGCAGGACCTACATTACTCAGGAGGAAGAGGCCAGACCTGAGGAAACTGTTTCAAAGGAGGGGAGAGAGAAATTGAGGAAGTTGCCTACTTCAAAGATTTAGGAAATGTGTGCAAAGTGGGTTGAACTGCAAACCTTTACGGATGAAAATCACCCTGACACAGCTACTGCAAGCCGTGTTGGCAACCTGTACAGTGACAGTGTTATGGCCCATTATAGGAAAGTCTTAAAGGAACGGGAGGTACAGAGCTCTATGGACAGATTTGTTGTGCGACAGAGGTCCAGTGACTCAAGTTGGTCCTAGTGGCATTAAAAGAAGAAGGGAAGTAACCCCGGAAAAGGACTTGCTACCTCAAGTCCTAATAGAAGGGGATTCTCCCTTCTAAACAATAACTTCCACACTCTCCCCTCCTCCCATCCCATCAATCATCACCAGATCTTCAATAAAGGTAAGTGTCATGTATTTCTATTCTTAGTAGAGTTAATTGTGCATGTCTTCTTCAGTTTGTGTGTATTAAAATTAATATTTCATGTGGTAAAAAAAAAATCATACTTTGTTATGTCAGGAACGGATTAATTTGATTTCCATTATTTCTTATGGGGAAAATTAATTCGGCTAACGATTATTTCGGCTTATGATGAGCTCTCAGGAATGGATTAATATCGTAAGGTGGGGGTCCACTGTATATTGGCCCCACTCAGCAGCTCTGTGACTCTTTGCCTCCATCTGTATAGGGAACATCTCTCTCTTTCTAGTTTACATCTTCTTTCTTTTTCTTAATTAAATGTGTCTTGAGCAGATCTCAAGAACCACAGAATTCAATTTTTCAAGGCAAATGTTCGGATCCATGTTGTTTAGGATATCCTCCCAGCTTGTTTCATTTAGGACATGGTTTACTTGATCCCATTGTGTGTTTTTGTTATTGAAATTGAATTTCGTGAAGAGACCTTCATGACTGCTCACATTTTGCTGGTCTGGAGCCCTGTGCATACATGTCTGTATCTCTGTTATGTTGTGATCTGAGTGTATTGTCTTTGATACAGTTATACTACATATCAGATCATCATTGTTAATGAAGATGAGGTCCAGCATATTTTCTAATCTTGTAGGCTCTACTATTTGCTGGTTTAAAGTGAATTTGGTGCAGAGATTTAATAGTTAGTTTAATATCTTCATTATGCACCCCATACCCATCCTGTAGGCGGTAGTCAAAAGATTACAGAGGTACATAATGGGTCCAGGGACTGGGCCTCAAAGTTTTGATAGCTGAGCAAGTTACAAAGGTAATGAAGTCACAATTTACAAGAGATTTAATAGTTCGTGTGTTTGTGAATTTTCATCTGAGCTGCCTCCCGGGGTGATCTCTGCTAAAACATTGTTTGCTATACTCTTCCATTTTAGGTGTCTCAAGGTGAAATCTCCTAGTAGTAAGATGTTTGGGGCAGGAGTTGGGAGATTTTCCAGACACTGGTTAGTTTTCTCAAGCTGCTCCTGGAATTGTTGGGAAGTTGCTTCTGGAGGCTTGTATACTACCCCAATGACATGGTTTTGGTTTTCAATCTTTACTGCCAGAACTTCAACTAATCATTTGAGGTGTTTAGTAGTTCTGTGCAAACGAGCGACTCTGTGACATATAGGCCAACTCCCCCTTGTTGCCTGTTCAGTCTGTCGCATCAGAATAGGTTATAAACTGGGATCCATATTTCGTTGTCATAATGATCCTTTATGTGGGTCTCTGTGAATGCTGCAAACATTGCATTTGACCCCATGAGCAGTCCCTTGATGTAAGGAATTTTGTTGTTTTTTAACAGCTTTAGACCCTGCATGTTTGCAGAGACAAATGTCATTGTATTGGTGGAATTTAGGGGGGTTTTATTTGCTGACTCTAATATCTGTTGTTCTGGAGGCCAATGTCCGTGCCTCTGCTCCAGAAGTGTTTTCAGGTGATGTAGGATTATTGTCATTTCTTGCCAGCCTTTTTTTCCCTCCTGACCCTAAAAACCTCTGTCCCTGGAGAGGTTGTGGCTCCTCTCTTTTGTTTCCCATAGTCTGGCTGGTCTGTGTCTTCTAGTCCCCTTTAGATGATGTGCCTGGCAGTATGCATTGTAGCATTTTCTTTCATGGATTGACGAGTGTCACATTTCTGGGTGAAATAAATTACAGGGGGGGAAGTTGCACTCTCCTGTTATGTGGGTGTGGCATTTTTTGGGATGGTCAGAGGTGCATGTCCCACGTGTTTTACCAGATATACCGTGCCTCAGATACCTAAGGCATAGTATTTACATATATTGTAATTCTGTTTGCTTGGATTTATTGTAGCTGCGTTCGCTGCTGGTGCATTTATTTTTCCTGTTTCCTCTCTATCTTTCACCCCTGTATGGATATCAGTGCTTCCACCAGGTTTTGCTGGTAGTGTGTCGACACTATTACCTGAGGCATCATCCCATTTTGATCCATCTCCAGCAGTATCTCTATTTTGAACCTCTGTGGACTGAATAACATTGTCTTCACTGTCCTCCAGGACAACACTTGTACCTTCACGAGCACTGTCTTCTGAGACATCACTAGGACCTTCAGCACTTTCCTCCAGTGTGGTAAATGGTTTAAGAAAAACTGATAAGTTGAAGATTGAGACACTTATGCAACACATGGGAATCTTTATTGAGGAAACGTTTCATCACCCAGTGGCTTCATCAGTCCAGTACAAAGCAGAAAGGTGTAAGGAGAGGAGGAGTTTGAGGTAATCAGTTCCTCAGCCTGGAGTCAATGTGTTTAGGCCATCAATCATCAATTCTACAAGATTGGTGGACTGAACACATCGACTCCAGGCTGAGGGACTGATTACCTCAAACTCCTCCTCTCCTTACACCTTTCTACTTTGTATTGGACTAATGAAGCTGCTGTGTGGTGAAACATTTCCTCAGTAAAGATTCCCATATGTTGCATAAGTGTCTCAATCTTCAACTGTCCTCCAAGACAGCACTAGCACCCTCAAGAGCACTGTCCAAGACAGCTCTGTCCCTACCACCCATCTTATTTTCCCAGCTGTCATACCATGTTGACATGTCTTTCAAGAAGGATGTTTTATTGGTGTTCTTGTCTTTTAATATAGATGTCATTTCCTCATACAGGTGTATCTCGTTTGGGCAGACTCAAAAACATCTCTCTGAGTTTGTCAAGTGTGGTCACTGGTTTAAAATTCCTGCATATACCATGGGACCATTTACCACAGAGATGGCAAGCAATCCAGGCTTGGTTTTGTCCCTTACCCTTTCTGCAGACTACAGATCTTCATGGTGATGGTCATCTTACAATACTTGACAACTCTCCCAGCTAGCTAGTCTATAATTCCCCAAAGTATTTAATTTTTTGTAACAGTTCTTCCTATTTGGCTTTATTTCCAATGAAATCATTTGAATCCGCCCGAATCTGGACGAATCCAGTTAGTGGATCACTGTATATCTTTTTACTAATAATCACCTTAACAGTAGATCTGTCTATCTGTGTTGTAACTATTTGTTGTAGTTACTGTTTGAGTGTTTGATAAGGGCGCTTAGAGCCCCGTCAGTTAATGAAACCAGTCAGAGGATACCTTGTTATCAACGAATCCGTTTGAATCCAGTCGTTGGATGAATCCGGGCAAATCTGGATTAGGCTTGCTGGATGATTTGGACTAGCTCATCAAAAGGACTACTGGAAAATTTTTAAACAGAGTAATACGTGTTCAGTTTGATGCAGAAAGTATAACTTGCGTGTTTGGGCGCCAGTGGCTTCTGTAGATGAAAAATTACTGGAAGAATATAGCTCTTCCCAATCTAGTTCATTAGTAATAACTGTAAGGGTACAATATTTAATTAACAGTTGATTTAGTTTTAGTAAATTATAACCAAGGAAAGACAGATTGATAATATTCATGTCCAGCATATTAGTGCACACTTCATAATTGATTTTGTATTTCATTTGTTCACCTTTCAGATAGGTAAAGATGGAGGTCAGTGTAATTTGTGCTTCTGCTTCTGCCAAGGACAAACACAAAGGTCTACATCCGGCATCCAGAAACCATAACTCTACTAACGACTCTGGCTATTGTTCTGACATACTTGCATCACCAGAATGCACTTCTGGTTCACGTATACCTCAAGTTGTGGAAGCAAAAGAAGTCGCATGTCTCACCCCTGTTATCCTTGAAAGAAGAACTGGAAGGTGAGCATTTTGTGGACAATAATACAGTTTCTAGTGTTCTTTAATATTACAAACTTCCTTTTGTAATTACCTGCCTGAAGCTACAGGAGCAAACCTATGCTCTGGGTGTTTTATCCTCAGTTTTTAATCAATAATGATAATTCAATTTTCTCTAGTGGCTGTACACGCTACCCTTTCTTGTGACCCAGTTAATTGTTCTACCCCATTGAAGAACTTAATATCATCCTTTAGGCATCTTTTCTTCCTCTGTTTACAACTATGGGCTCTTGTTTTCTTCTGGCTAAGTAGTAGTTTAATACCAACAAAATTAGAAAAAGACATCCAGTTACATAGCGTTATTAATTACATTTTGCCCATGTTAATTATAAAGTCACAAACATCTTTTTATGACTTGGTAAAATCTGCTCTGTAGACAAAACTTAGTCAATGAAGCTTCCGTGTAGCTGCATTTGTTCATTTCTCATCCTGTTCTCCCTGTGGATATTAAGAAGTCTTCCTTATCTATTTTAATCCTTTTATGATGTGAAATGGAAAAAAAGCTTTTATTAGGACATCATTTTGCTTTGTGTAGAGTTTTATCAAGTCCTGGAGGTGGGAAGGGCAGTGCCTGCACTATGAGGGAGGGGTGGGAATGTGGCAGTTCAGTTGTTTACCAAGTTGTGATATCAGCACACTTGTTAAGACAGTGATTGAATGAATGATGGTGAGTGATTCTTTTTTTCTTGGGTCACCATGCCTTGGTGGGAAATTGCCTTCAAGGTAAAAAAAAAAAAAACACAAGTGAAAAATCTCAATGAAAGCTTACTCTAACCTATCTTTTTTCACTGTTTTTGGAAGTGTTCTATACCATTTGAATTTTTTATAATGTGATAAACTGCAACAATAACAAGGAGGGGTGTTAGTGTTACAGTTTTATAACTGGAGTGTGAGCGCGCCTCTGGCAAGATGGCATGAATGATGAAAGTTTTTCTTTTTTGGGCCACCCTGCCTTGGTGGGAGACGGCCGATGTGTTATAATAAAAAAAATCACATATCATATTTTCCTAACTAAGTGTAACATGGATAGCAGTTTGTAAAAGTAATTTGTACAGTTTACCCACAAAACTGGCAAATGGACAATATAATTTAATGTAGGTAAGTGCCTGCCTTCTCCATGGGGAAGTGGAACAGAATTCTTCCTCCGTAAGCCATGCGTGTCGTAAGAGGCGACTAAAATGCCGGGAGCAAGGGGCTAGTAACCTCTTCTCCTGTATAATTTACTAAATGTAAAAGGAGAAACTTTTGTTTTTCCTTTTGGGCCACCCCTCCTTGGTGGGATATGGCCGGTGTGTTGAAAGAAAGAAGTGCCTGCCTCGGTGGGAGACTGCCGACTTGTTAAAAAAAAAAAAAAAAAAAAGTGCGTCATATCTAGGTAGTAGGTTGGTAGACAGCAACCGCCCAGGGAGGTACTACTATCCTGCCAACTGAGTGTAAAACTGAAACCTGTAATGGTTTTACATGATGGTAGGATTGCTGGTGTCTTTTTTGTCTCGTAAACATGCAAGACTTCAGGTACGTCTTGTTACTTCTGCTTAAACTTAGCTCACACTACACGTGCATGTTTTTCTTTTTTTTACCAAGTCGGCCATCTCCCACCAAGGCAGGGTGACCCAAAAAGAAAGAAAATCCCCAAAAAGAAAATACTTTCATCATCGTTCAACTCTTTCACCTCACTCACACATAATCACTGTTTTTGTAGAGGTGTTCAGAAACACAACAGCTTAGAAGCATATACGTATAAAGATACACAACATATCCCTCCAAACTGCCAATATCCCGAACCCCTCCTTTAGAGTGCAGGCATTGTACTTCCCATTTCCAGGACTCAAGTCTGGCTATATAAAAATAACCGGTTTCCCTGAATCCCTTCACTAAATATTACCCTGCTCACACTCCAACAGATCGTCAGGTCCCAAATAATAGTCTTCTCCATTCACTCCTATCAAACACGCTCATGCACGCCTGCTGGAAGTCCAAGCCCCTTGCCCACAAAACCTCCCTTACCCATTCCTTCCAACCTTTTCAAGGACGACCCCTGCCCTGCCTTCCTTCCCCTACAGATTTAAATGCTCTCCATGTCATTCTACTTTGATCCATTTTCTCTAAATGACCAAACCACCTCAACAACCCCTCGTCAGCCCTCTGACTAATACTTTTATTAACTCCACACCTTCTCCTAATTTCCACACTCCGAATTTTCTGCATAATATTTACACCACATATTGTCCTTAGACAGGACATCTCCGCTGCCTCCAACCGCCTCCTCACTACTGCATTCACAACCCAAGCTTCACACCCATATAAGAGTGTTGGTATTACTACACTTTCATAAATTCCCTTCTTTGCCTCCATAGATAACGTTTTTTTTGTCTCCACATATACCTCAACGCAGCGCTCACCTTTTTTCCCCTCATCAATTCTATGATTAGCCTCATCCTTCATAAATCCATCCGCTGACACGTCAACTCCCAAGTATCTGAAAACATTCACTTCTTCCATACTACTCCTCCCCAATTTGATATCCAATTTTTCTTTATGCATGTACAAGCATATATATATATACACACACCCCTCAGGGTTTTCTTCTATTTTCTTACTAGTTCTTCTGTATTCCCTCTTATCTCCATGGGAAAGTTGAACAGAATTCTTCCTCCATAAGCCATGCATGTCATAGGAGGTGACTAAAATGCCGGGAGCAAGGGGCTAGTAACCCCTTCTGTATATATTACTAACTTTAAAAAGAGAGACTTCTTGATTTAATTTTTGGGTCACCCTGCCTCGGTGGGATATGGCCAGTTTGTTGAAAGAAGTGCTTCGTAGTAGAAATGGGACAATGAGGAAATGAGAAATACTGTGCTTGCTAAGTTGCTGTATCCTTGGGAAAATTCTTAAAAAAAATAAATCACAAGATGCATTAGACCAAAATTGGAGTGTTCATCTGTAGAATCCACAAAAAAAAAAAAAAACAATGTTACAGTTCAGTCATATTACAGAATAGCTTCTCAAGTTGAGATAATCAAAGATCATAAAATTATACAAGAATTTAGGCAAGTAGATTTTTTTTTAGCATGGGGTCACAACTGAACTAAGGGAGAAAGGATATAAGTTGTATTTTTATATAATGGTAGACATCTGAGAGGGGGTAAAGGAGGTTTTGTGGGCGAGGGGCTTGGACTTCCAGCAAGCATGCGTGAGCGTGTTAGATAGGAGTGAATGGAGACGAATGGTACTTGGGACCTGACGATCTGTTGGAGTGTGAGCAGGGTAATATTTAGTGAAGGCATTCAGGGAAACCGGTTATTTTCATATAGTCGGACTTGAGTCCTGGAAATGGGAAGTACAATGCCTGCACTTTAAAGGAGGGGTTTGGGATATTGGCAGTTTGGAGGGATATGTTGTGTATCTTTATACGTATATGCTTCTAAACTGTTGTATTCTGAGGACCTCTGCAAAAACAGTGATAATGTGTGAGTGTGGTGAAAGTGTTGAATGATGATGAAAGTATTTTCTTTTTGGGGATTTTCCTTCTTTTTTGGGTCACCCTGCCTCGGTGGGAGACGGCCGACTTGCTGAAAAAAAAAGAAAATTCTGGAATAGGATAAGAGGTGGTGGTAGTAGTATGGGCTACAACCACTGGAAACTTTGTTGAAAAGACACAAATACACAAAAGTCCAACCTTTTCGAGGACGACCCCTACCCTACCTTCTTTCCCCTACAGATTTACAGTATATGCTCTCCATGTCATTCTACTTTGATCCATTCTCTCTAAATGACCAAACCCCCTCAACAACAACACCTCAGCCCTCTGACTAATGCTTTTATTAACTCCACACCTTATTTCCACGCTCCGAATTTTCTGTATAATATTTACACCACACGTTGCCCTTAGACAGGACATCTCCACTGCCTCCTCGCTGCAGCATTTACAACCCAAGCTTCACACCCATATAAGAGAGTTGGTACCACTATACTTTCATACATTCCCTTCTTTGCCTCCATAGATAACGTTTTTTTGTCTCCACGTGTACATCAACGCACCAGTCGCCTTTTTTCCTTCATCAATTCTATGGTTAACCTCATCCTTCATAAATCCATCCGCTGACACGTCAACTCCCAAATATCTGAAAACATTCACTTCTTCCATACTCCTCCTCCCCAATTTGATATCCAATTTTTCTTTATCTAAATCATTTGATACCCTCATCACCTTACTCTTATCTGTGTTCACTTTCAACTTTCTACCTTTACACATATTTATGTATTAATAAATAGGTGTTGAAAGTTAAAGCAGCTACAAAATTTATATACTTTAGTAAGATAGTCATGATACTGAACATTATTAATTTCAGATTGACAAGCACTCCCCAGAGCCCCAGTAGCCCTGACATTGGCTTGGTATTAAGTCCTCCATTACCAGAGATTGAGGATGTTGAAGGTATATCCAGGTGTAGGCAGATGTCTGCTGGTGATTCTGCTATGTATATTACCACGCCTATTGAGATATGCGAGTTGGAAATGACTTGCGATAAGGATTCAGACAAGGTAGAAAATTTGCTTCCAATAAATGAGCAATCAAAACTGGTCTCCAAAGAAACAAAGTCTACAAGCAGCAAACGTGCTGCCAGCAAAAAAATATCATTAAGGCTTATTCGAAAATGTAAGAAACCCTCCAATGTACTTATTCGTATGCTGAAAGAAGCAGATTATCTGGTATACAAAGTCTTGAAATACATGTCTGGAGAAGATTTATTACACCTTAGTCATGTAAACAAGCAGCTGCGAGACACGATTCTTCAGGATAAAGGACTTGATAGAAGAAGAATGGCTTTTATTAATGGAAGAAGAAAGGATCTGGAACATGTGGGAAAGGTAATTGCATTTTAGTATGTAGGAGAAAGGGGGATTATTTTCCAGTTAAAATAGGGCTTAGAAAGGGATGCATTGGCACCATGGTTGACTAAGGTTAAATTTAAACTCTTTAGCAGTTTATTAGGTAATTATTGTTTAGTTTAATGTTAATGGTTGTCTGAGGGTGTTATTGAAGTTTACATTGGTGTGGACATCATCTCCCATTTAGGGAGGTCTGCTCTTATGTATCACTTTAAGGAGGTGCCTAGACAGTAAACTGCTCTGATCCAAGGATATGGAGTTACCCCTTCCTTTAGATCAGACCTGAATGCCTCCCTTTCTCCAGGTGCTGTGTGGCCCCTACAGTTGTGTATGGCTTTACCCAATTATTGATACTTTATATGAATTATGTGAAGTACATATAGGTTAAATTTGGAGGGATATGTTGTGTATCGTTATACGTATATGCTTCTAAACTGTTGTGTTCTGAGCACCTCTGCAAAAACAGTGATTATGTGTGAGTGTGGTGAAAGTGTTGAATGATGATGAAAATATTTTCTTTTTGAGGATTTTCTTTCTTTTTGGGTCACCCTGCCTCGGTGGGAGACGGCCGACTTGTTGAAAAAAAAAAATAGGTTAAGTTATTTAGTAGTCAATTCCCTTCATGCTGGTAAATAGATCTTGAGCCAAAGAACTGCAGTTACCCTCACTTACCTTGGATCAAACCTGATTACCTCCCTTATAGGTTTAGGGCTTCCTTATACTAATAGTGCATTAATGTCATTGTATTTGGGTAGTGATCTGGCATGTTAGTGCACATCTTGAAAATGAATGGGGCTGGAATAATTATTTTTACCTCTAAATTATTGGTCTATGATAGTAATATTAATACTTTGATTTCTTCTGCACTTCTCAGGAAAATTTTAAATTGAAGAATTGTGAACAAGCTGGGACATCATTTGGAACACTCTCTCCACGTAAAGAATTATCTGCTATCCATAACATTTGTGCACCCAGTCCCAAGAAGGCCTCGCCCTCCTTCACCATTAAATCTCTTACACTTTCTGAAAGATTTATTGAGGTTTGTTATACTTCCTTTATTCTTTTACTGTTTTAGAGGCGACACTGGCTGGGCTCAATTGCCTGTACATAATAGCATAACTAATGAGAAAGCAGAGAATGCTCTTTCATATTTTGTTTTAAAGAATACACTCAAAGTACTGTACCAGTTGTTAGTCTCTGACATTCATACTACAGAATTTTGTAATGGAGCGATGAAGATAAGTTGGAGGTTTTAAACTGTAGTGTAGGTATGCCTCTGGCAAAACAGTGATGATGAGTGTTTCTTCTTTTTTGGGTCGCCTTGTCTCATTGGGAAGCAGCCAGTTTGTTAATAAAAAATTATATATAAAGGGCCTGATTTCAGACCAAGCCTTTTGGTTGATATGCTGCTCAGACTGTTGGTGCTGGAGGATGCCTTCATTCCAATGCAAACTTCTAAACATCCCTTCTTTATACATGTATATGAAAGGGCTATGTGTAGTACATTGGTAGACAGCAACCACCCACGGAGGTACTACTGTCCTACCAAATGAGTGTGAGACAGAAACCTGTATTTGTTTTACATGATGGTAGGAGTGCTGGTGTCTTTTTTCTCAAACACTCAAGGTAACAGGTATATCTTGCTACTTTTACTTACACTTGGGTCACACTTTACGAGTATGTACACGTTTATGTATATACACTCATTCGAGTTTTCTTTGATTTTATCTTAATATAATAGTTCTTGTTCTTATTACTCTTCCTTTCATATCCATGGGGAAGTGGAAAAAAACTTTTCTCTAAGCCAGGTAAGCCATGCGTGTTGCAAAAGCCAACTAAAATGCCAGGAGCAGTGGGCTAGTAACCCCTTTTCCCATACAGCGTACTAAAAATAAAAGGAAAACCATCAAAGTGGGATGTTGTAATGTGCATGGATGCAGTGTGAATGATAAGAAAGACAATTGTGGATGTTATGAATGAAAAGAAGCTGGATATCCTGGCTGTAAGTGAAACAAAGCTGAAAGGGGTAGGAGAGTCAGTGGGGAGGAATAAATGGGATTAGATCAGGGGTTTCTAATAGAGCTAAGGAAGGAGTAGCAATAATGTTAAAGGATAAGTTACGGCAGGAAAAGAGGGAATATAAATGTATAAATTCAAGGATTATGTGGAGTAAAACAAAGTTTGGATGTATGAAAGAGGGGAAGGTACCTAGGGATTGGCAATGTGTATATAGTTCCTTTATATAAAAGGAAGGGGGACAAAAGTGATGGTAAAAATTATAGGGGAATAAGTTTACTTAGTATACCAGGTAAAGTGTATGGTAGTTTTATTATGGAAAGAATTGGAGGTAAGACAGAGAGTAGCACTGCAGATGAATAAGGAGGCTTTAGAATGGACAGGGGATGTGTAGGTCAAGTGTTTACATTGAAGCATATATGTGAACATTATTTAGATAAAGGTAGGGAAGTTTTCATTTCGTTTATGGATTTAGAAAAGGCATATGATAAGGTGGATAGGGGAGCAATGTAACAGATATTGCAAGTGTTTAGAATAGGTAGTAAGTTACTAAATCCTGTGAAGAGTATTTGAGGATAGTGAGGCTCAGGTTAGGGTGTGTAGAAGACTACTTCCCAGTAAAAGTAAGCCTTAGACAGGGATGTGTTATGTCAACATGGTTATTTAACATATAGTGGACCCCTGGTTTTCGTAATTAATCTGTTCCAGAGAGAGTGACTGAACCCGAATCTGACGAATTCCGAGTTAATTTTCCCCATAAGAAACAATGGCAATCCAATTAATCCGTTTCAGACTCCCAAAAGTATAAAAAAAATGTTTTCTACATGAAATATACATTTACCTACACAGAAAACAATAATACATGAAGAATAAAACAATAATAACATCACACTTACCTTTTATTGAAGACTTGGTGATGTATGGAAGATGGGAGGAGGAGGAGAGAGGATGGAGGAGTTTACAATTGTTTGGAAAGGAAATCCCCTTCCATAAAGACTTCAGGTACCAAGTCCTTATCCTGGGTTACTTCCCTTTGTTTTTTAATGCCATTAGGATCAGCTTGAGAATCGCTGGACCCTTGTAGCTCAAAAAAGTGTTCCAGAGAGGTTTGTTTCTGGCGTATGTTAGGAATTGTTTTGGGAGACAGGACAAGATAGTCCTTCAGTATGACACTAATATCAGCTCTACGGCTTATTTATCTAGCACAATTCATCTAATGTGACATAAACAATATTAATAACATAGAAACATGATATATACTCTAGAATGAATAAAATATGGCATTAAGAATGTCACGAGTGGTAGTGTGTTGTTTGTTGGGTGTATAAGGGCCACTGAAAGATAAGCCTTACATAGTGGTGGTTAAGGTGGTAGCAGAGGCAGCGGTGTTAGTTAGTAGCCCTATATACCTCCAACAACAATGGAGGAGTTAGTTTCGTGCTATCCTTTTTCTATCAATTAATTGCTTAACTTACTTGCTACACTGTTAATGCTACACTTTATTGCTGGCTGGTGCTATAGCCTTTATCAACTCCTGCTGCTTTGGTATCATACATATTGCAGAATCACTGAAAAAGGCACATTCTCCCCTCTCTCTCGTCCCTTTACCAAAGGGCTGGCTGGCACTAGGAACTTTCTTTGGGCCCATGATGGCTTATTTAGCAGTTACAAGCACTAAAAAGAATGGAATAATACAAAATGTATTGTATAAATGGGTGGGATCATCCTCACTGGCTGGTAAACAGTGGCACACTGGCTGTGCATGGAGTGTTGGAGTTGCTCAGGCTGCGCGGACACGTTCCGGACGAATGACTTGTACGGACTTCAATGACGATCACCGAGCCAATATTTTGACAAAAAAAAAGATACTTATTCCAAATATTACATATTCTGATGACGTAATCCAGGGGTTCACTGTATTTATAGATGGGGTTGTAAAAGAGGTAAATGCTAGGGTGTTGCAGAGACGGGTGGGATTAAATAATGGGGAATCAAATTCCAAATGGGAATTGACAGTTACTTTTTGCTGATGATACTGTGCTTTTGGAAGATTCTAAAGTAAAGTTGCAAAGGTTAGTAGATGAGTTTGAAAGGGTGTGTAAAGGAAGAAAGTTGAAAGTGAACATGGGTAGTTTTAAATTTAGGTTGGATAAATACACAAGTGAGGGGTTTGATTCGAGTGGGGCTTGCACATGAGTAAATAGAATTATTGAAGCTTATTGCTTGAGTAGCATTGAAAATTGGGTTGGGCAAATATTCTGTTAGTGGGATGGATTGTGAAGGACCTGCCTAGTATGGGTCAACAGGCCTGCTGCAGTGTTCCTCCTTTCTTATGTTCTTATGTGATGAGGGTATCAAACGGTTTAGATTAAAGAAAAATTGAATATCACATTGGAAGGAGTATAGAAGAAGTGAATGTGTTCAGATATTTGGGAGTTGACCTGTCAGCAGATGGGTTTATGAAGGATGAGGTTTAATCATAGAATTGATGAAGGAAAAAAGGTGAGCGGTGCTTTGAGGTATCTGTGGAGACAAAAAAAAACATTATCCACGGAGGCAAAAAAAGGAATATATGAGAGTATAGTGGTACAGGTCGACCATCACTAATCCTGCATCATTGGGACCTGTAGTGTGTAGGATTAGTGAGTTTGCTGGATTACAGAGTGGTTAGGTTAGAATACACTTAATTAACCTATCAATAGAGACTTTCTGCTACATATTCCTCATTTTCATCACTGCTTTCTCCTCCACTGGCTTGCTGGTGTGGATTTACAACCATGTGCACAATTTCTGAGTCAGTATAATGATGAAATTTGAGTCATTATAATGATTTGGGTCAGTATAATGATGAAATTTGAAAAACCATACCCCGGCCGGGATTGAACCTGCGGTCAGAGAGTCTCAAAACTCTAGCCCATCGCGGGTTCAATCCCGGCCGGGGTATGGTTTGTTTGCAATCGTGTCATTACGATTTCGTGAGTCATGTTGATGGCAGTGAAGGGACTTGAGCTAGAGTTCGTCACGGCCACGCTAGCTGGAGATTCGTCTGTAAAAACTTGCATTTGTGGTCACAGTGGTGCCTGTGCTAACCTTCCTATGGTGTAGAAATACAGTGGACCCCCGGTTAACGATATTTTTTCAATCCAGAAGTATGTTCAGGTGCCAGTACTGACCGAATTTGTTCCCATAAGGAATATTGTGAAGTAGATTAGTCCATTTCAGACCCCCAAACATACACGTACAAACGCACTTACATAAATACACTTACATAATTGGTCGCATTCGGAGGTGATCGTTATGCGGGGGTCCACTGTAGTAATAAACTTTCAGTTCACTTAGAGTATATTTTTCAAGAGATATACAATTTTTTCAATACATACCAGACACCATTCCTATTTTTGTTACTAATCCATATTATTCATGTACAAAAAAAATCATCATAGACACAGTAAAAAGAGTAATTTTGTTATGGTATAAGTTTGAAAAATATAAAAAAGGGAAGGAAATGCTTACCTAATCATACATTGTCATTCAGTGGTTGCTTCAGAAGTAATAGTCAGTTCAATCATTTTTCTTGCATAAACCTGTCTTGTGCTCAATCGATAGAATACAAGTAATACTAGTGAAGTAGCTAAGAATTTGGTCGACTGGAATAATGTACTTGGCCTAAAATGGGAGTCAAAGTCGGCAAAATCGCTGATTCGTAAATATCTGGAAGGCTTGTAAACACTGGCACCCACGGGGCAGCGTGGACAGGTCCTGGATGAATCATGTTGGGCGGGGCAAAAATTTTTACGCTCAAACACTTTGTTAGGTGGATTTAACATTATGCGATGCGTTCGTTAGGCGAGGGTCCACTGTATTACTAAAAGTATAGAAGTCTGGTAAGGATTGTCCTAGGAAGGGTTGGAGGGAGGGGGTATAAGAGGTTTTGTGAGCTAGGGGCTTGGACTTCCAGCAAGCGTGCGTGAGTGTGTTAGATAGGAGTGAATGGAGACGAATGGTTTTTGGGACCCTGACAAGCTGTTGGAGTGTAAGCAGGGTAATATTTTATGAAAGGATTCAGAGATTCAGGTCTCCAAATCTTAAGCAAATAAAAATGATAATGCAATTGTTGGTCATTGTTATGTATGTTTTTTCTGTTGTTCAAGCCTACATGTGCAACAGAAATTATATTTCTTATCTTAAATTATGGTTGCTGGTGTTTGTCGATGATTGTGAAGGAGGGAGTGGAGAGGCATGCTGAGGCCCATCTGGGCTGAGGTGGATGGTAGTCCAGTCAGTCAGTCAGTTCAGTACGTCACTCATTCAAGTCAGTCAGTCAAGTCAGTAAATCAGCCAGGTAGTAGGTCAGTAAATCTGTCAAGTCATTCAGTAAATCAGACTACAGCCCAGGTTATTCATTGTACAAGCCTGTATATTTGCTTCACCCTTTAATCATACAAACCGACGCTTCATTAAGGCCATAAGCTCACGCCATGTCCACACAGGCACCACATATAAGCTTATCTAGTACGTATCTCAATTTTCTTCATAATTCCAAGACTTGAACTTTTTTTTTTTACTTTGTCTTACCACTTCATGCATCACTTGCATGCCTCCTGGGTGCCATGGTTCCTTGGCAGATGCAATGTATGGTAATGAAAAGACCAAAACCCGATTCACAGACACTGCTAGGTACCGCACTGGATGCTTATAGTATACCGATCACTGATATGAAGGTGAAAGGGTAGGAAATTAGGGCCTCCCCTGTAAAAAACAATGGCTTGACCCACAGGGAAACTGCCTAGCGCTCGGTACATGGGAAGAGCCCCGCTATCCAGCTTGCAGCACTGAAATTTTTCCCTTACCGAGAAGCAGAACTGTTTAACCCTTTTAACTATCGAGACCCCAAATCCTGAAGTCTCTCTGTGTTGCAAAATATTTGAAAAACAAAATTTTTTTCATGTGAAATTGTGGAGAATCTTTTCCCAATGGTAATGACACTATAAGTACAAAATTTGATGGAAAACTTACGGAATTACTCTCTCGCGAAGTTAGTAATCTCGACGATATATATGCATCAGCAATTTCGCCCACTTTAAGCCCTATTTTCAGCCAATTCCATTGTTCCAGTGTACCAAACTCATAGCTATTTCTTTAAAACTCCATTTGTTCTATCGAATGAGTACAAGAAACTGCCCATTTACTGATTTCAACTACCCAATAAAGTGCTCAGAAATTGGCAATTTGGCCAGTTTCATGGAAATTGAAAAAAGATGCCAATTTCAAAATAGGGTTCACAGTAAACAACGCAGACATTCCTGGCAGTAAAATAACATTTTCTCTGTTCATTAGTCACGTCTCTAGGCCCCTCTTATATTACTCTTGCTTTCTATTTTGAATTTTTATTCTCACAAAAAATAGATTTACTGTTATGCAGACTACTGCATTATTGTAATAATTGTATAAATAATGTCAACCCATTCATGACTGCATATTAGAATGGCTAGTTGTACACTTGAACATCGGCAAAAATTGAACATTTCCCCTACTTTGAGCTCAATTTCAAGATCCTTTTCATCATGAAAAAAAAATAAAAATCATCTCTTCCATTCTAACAAAGGAGACCAAGAAAATGAGAATACAACCATAAATACTATACAAAAATACACCTCAAAGTGGCCATTTTAACCCAAAAACACTTGGAGTTTTTTTTCTCATTATGCACTGCGTGCTGCAGGATTTTTTTTTATACTGCACACATTGACCACACAGACCCATTCTCTCACGTGGGCTTACCAGCTTTCTCCTGCTTGATTTGAAGTCGCTAGAATTTTGGTGTTATTACATCAAGAACACTGGCTTGTAAGCCGTATATATACTACACCGACAGTCTAAGGGTTAAATTGAATTTTACGAAGTGTAAAACGAAAATATGCCACAATTTGACAATAGTGTAATGGAGAAAACATTTTAAAGGAAACCATTTTAATCAACAGTCTACTGTATAAATAAATTTTTTTCTCTCAACAAACAGGCCATATCATATCGAGGCAGAGTGACCTTAAATTTTTTTTTTTTTTTTAATTTAGTAGTGTATACAGGAGAAAGGGCTCTTTGCCCCTGGCATTTTAGTCGTATGGTTTACAGAGGAAGAATTTTTCTCCACTTCCCCATGGAGATAGATTTAACCTTAATTGGCTTGTTCTGTGTGTACTTAAAAAATGTATTTTGCAGTGTTTTAAACATCTTTCAAAATAAGAATATTTAATAATTTTAAATAATTTTCAGGAAGGCCAGAGACTACCTCAAGGAGAAGAACTACAAAAGTGTGTGAAATGTAAAGCACCTGCTAAAGTGCTTAAACCTCACCAAAGGGCAGTGTGCTCCCGGAAGACATGTGGTTATGACTATTGTACACGTTGCCATCTCAGTTATCACCTCAAACCCCAAGACTGTTCTGTACTTAAACCACGCACAAGACAGGGTAGTGGAATATTCTCAAATAAGTGTAAGAGAAGTTTACGAAGATTATGACTGTTAGTTGTAGAAGGTTTTATTTTGGCCAAGTACCATTTTGTGTATGTACAGTATATCTAAGTTAACATTAGGGAAATAGGCATATAATTTGAATGAATGTGTAAATAGTTTTATTTCATGAATGCTTATTGTATATACTGATGTACTAGGTTTATAAATATTCTTGCATTTTGTGGTAGAGTATGTGTTATATTTGTACATTTATGTTTGTATACGAGGAGCAGACTTCATGTATGTTTGCCTTATTTATGAATGAAATATTTTACTGCCATTGAACAAATATATATTTCCTTTCCTCTTCAGCCTAGGAATATTTATATACGGTACTATATCAAATCAGTTACTCGAGTGACACTTTTTTGTAACAGAAGCAAACCTTTAAATTTCTAGGTCATATATATATTCATATTAATGAAAACAATTTACATAAATCCCATTGAAGAGAAAAAAAGGAAGTATCACAAATCTTCAAATTTGTTTTTCTGTTGAAAATACAGTGGACCCCCGGTTAACAATATTTTTTCACTCCATAAGTATGTTCAGGTGCCAGTACTGACCGAATTTGTTCCCATAAGGAATATTGTGAAGTAGATTAGTCCATTTCAGACCCCCAAACATACACGTACAAACGCACTTACATAAATACACTTACATAATTGGTCGCATTCGGAGGTGATCGTTATGCGGGGGTCCACTGTAGTAATAAACTTTCAGTTCACTTAGAGTATATTTTTCAAGAGATATACAACTTTTTCAATACATACCAGACACCATTCCTATTTTTGTTACTAATCCATATTATTCATGTACAAAAAAAATCATCATAGACACAGTAAAAAGAGTAATTTTGTTATGGTATAAGTTTGAAAAATATAAAAAAGGGAAGGAAATGCTTACCTAATCATACATTGTCATTCAGTGGTTGCTTCAGAAGTAATAGTCAGTTCAATCATTTTTCTTGCATAAACCTGTCTGTCTGCATGAGTAAAACTTTTCTTTTTGTGTGTGTGTGTGTGTGTGTGGAGTAAACTTTTTAAATATCAGAAGATACTGTTAATTACAAAATATTCATGATTCACATGTGCAACAGTCTTATTAATGACATTTTATACCCATGGTGATTTTTGTCAGTACAAGTCATGCTTTATGTATGAAGTTATACTGTACTGACTAATGATGACTTGATGTTTTTATATATGTTTTTTTTTTTTTTTCCCTCAAATATTTTAATTTTTCAGTAGAATTTAGAAATTAAAATGAGGTACAGGTTTTTTGTTTTTATGCACTTTTACAGGAGTGAATGTTGCAAAACATCATGCTTGTTTATGGTGTGTGTGTGTGTGTGTGTGAGAGAGAGAGAGAAATGATATTGTGGGAGGGGGGGGACAGGGGACAGAATCCCGTCTCGTCCTTTTTTTTTTTCCATTCCAGTTATAACGTGTTAAGAATACTAAATCGCATTATTCTTAGAATTTGTTGCCAATTCAGTTTATAAAACAGCTTGGCTAAGGATTTTAATTTGTGACACAAGCAAAGGTAATAAAGACAATAGATTTGTAGGCATCCTGAGGTAGTACAAGATAACTAATATCTTTATAACTTTTTTGATATATAGAATCTTATGTTTAATAGTTTAAGTGCATTTTTCTGCTTGTGAAGTAACACTATTACTATGCACATGAATGGCTATGAGCTCACAAATGGTGAAAATGATGACACTTCAGCAAAGAACATTCTTATTAATATGAATTTTCACCCACTGGCTTTTATCAAGTATGTGCAGAAAAACATAAAACAGTGGTATGTAAAGTTTATGGACAGGTGAAGTGGTGCTGTGTCAGATCAGGCTCCACTAAGAGAAAATTGGTACCATTATAAGGTGAGATTAAGGGATGCTGGGTGGAGGCGAGGTCAGAGTCGAGTCATGGATTTAAGTGGATCATGGCAAACTCAATACACAGCTTCAAGAATATTTGATAAGGCACAGTAGGCTAGAAATCACCCCAATAAGACCACAGGCACAGCCAGTCTATATTGGGTGTGATAACTTTCATGTAGGTGAGACAGCAAGAGATCTAGGTACTAACTTCAAGCACACAAACATGCATGCAAAATAGATAACACATAATGTGTGCATGATACATTGCAGCACACATTCACACATGGACTGGAAGCAAGCATATCTGTATACAGTAAAACAACAGTATTAACAGCAGGTGTTCTGAGGCTGTGACCATCCATAAAGCAAAATAGGGGGATGTACATTTTCTTAATGACATTAGCACCTCGCCTCCCTACGTTCTTTTTGTGTTGAATATATTTGATAAAGCTCCCAATGAGTGAAATGTACAGTACAGTAAACCTTAATAAGGAGGAGGAGAGAGTGGCTAGTAATGACACTTGTGATGGTTAGAAGAGATTGTTTTACTTTGATAGTAACAATAATGGACAATTCTGTAACCAACAGACCCTGTCCATTGTTTCTGAATCGACTGGCACACCAGATTTTGTTCTGTATTTCTGAATTCTGTTACATCGAGGGTTCACTGTTAATAAAAGGCTCTTTGCTGAGAATGTCCTTGATCACTGTACCACTACTTAAAATTATGGAAGCTTGATATTTTAATAGAAAACAATATATGTATAGTTTTATTTAGTGTTTTGTATAGTATTTCTCATTACATTAAATGCCCTAAATGTGATAATTTTTGAAGAAAACAGAGTGGTTGTATTGTATTATAACTGGTATTCTTCAGCAATTCTGTGTGCATGCACATAACATGAATGCAGTAGGCATACAGAATTGTTTCCCAGGTGATTTCACCCATCTTCATGATGGTCTTGTAAGTTATTGTTACATCTGCAAATTGTATTGCATTTTTTAATTAGAGAAAGTTTTTCATGATCTATATTACAATCCCTTTCCTTGATTTATATATTTAATCCAGCACTGATTGCTCAGTATAAGTGAGGAGCTGGGAAATTATCATGGGTTTATATAGCAGAATCGGTGAGATGTGCTCTATATGTTAGGGATATTATATCTTGAAAATTTACATTGTTGCTTCTTTTGTTCACAGTTTATTATTGTTGATCAAAACCTAATGATGCTCCTTGAGTAACTGTCTATAGGAATTTCCTTAATTCTTAAATTTAAAGTTGGAGTTAATAATGAATTTAAAAACACTCCTGCACTTTGTTGTAAATCATAAAAAAATAGTATACATTTCCACACAGAAATGACAATACACACACACTTCCTCACCAGGGCATACAAAGTATGTACCGGCTGAAATGTAAACTTGATCGAATGACATAATAAGTACAGTAATGTATATATTTTCTTAATTACAATTCAATATACATTGCTACTTTTGAAGATAATCATCAGATGATACAATATGTGCTTTTTTTTTTTTTTTTTTTTTTTTTTTATATTTTTTTTTTATCATATTTTACTGTACTGAGAAGAGCTGCTATGAAAAATCTTTGTCACTGGAGGAAGTGAAGTATTACAAACCAACAATTTTCTAAAAAAAAAAAAAAAATAATGGAAACATACCAAGAGCTCTATATGGCTAATAGTGCTGGCAGTTCATAGATGTAGTAGTAAGGCATGGTGTACTTTATAATGTATTCTCCTTTAAGACACTCTATGATCAATGGGATAATCTCTTACTTTTATTAGTATAAAAATGAACAAATTCCTTTGTGATGTACTGTATAGCCTACAGGTTTCATGCTTTATGTGAATGTAATGTCTCTGATTTTGAAGTGAACAAATTTACAAGCACAATTCTTCATTGTTTTGATCTTGAAATATTTGTTAACATTTTGCATGTTTTCTTCAGTTTTTTTTTTTTTTTTTGGGGGGGGGGGAGGTAAGCTACTAGAATCAAAAAGTTGCAAACAGGTCTACATGTATAATACTTTTACACAGTTAAATTTTAACACTCACTGCAGTAGCAACTATTGTTTGTGCAACAAAATGAAATGCCTGTTTTTTCAATACTACCTTTCATTGTGTGGTGCTACCATATATCAGTATTCAATTTAAATGAGATATAATATTGCTGCATTTATTACAACCTTAAACAGAAAGATGGTGGGCTAATTTGGTGGTAGAAGTACTTTATTTTGAAGATATATGCTAAAAAATTTGCTTTTCATAAATATTTGATACCTAGTTCTTTTTTGGAATTTTCACTTTCAGGTAGGTGACTGTATGCATAATTTGCAAACTGAAAACAATGTGGATTGCCTCTTTAGCAAGCACAGGCTAGTGAGAGTCAAGAAGGATAACAAAGATGTAATTGGGAAAAATTAAAAAATAAAATATCTATTGAAATTGCAACATGGATGTAGAGGTGATATGGAGATCTGTCATACTAATTGCAATATCAAGTCTCACCTTCAGCATTTCACATAAGTTTGTCGTGTTGTATGTTTACTGTGAACACCATACACTAATAATGAATCAGTCTAATCATTCAACTTAACATATTTTTGTACATTTTATAATTTTTTTTGCAGGGTTGAAATTCTATTTTTATATTTTATTAAAATAAATGACCTGTCACTAGTGTTTGTTTGATAATCATAAACATTGAAAATAAGTGAAATAATGTACTGCACAGTACCTTCAATTGCTTCTGTGCTCTCTACATGCATTTACTCACTTTATAAAACAAAAACAAGGGAACATGGCTGGAAAGAGTGTTTGTGTATCACAAAACATTTAAATAAAAGTGAAATTAATAATAACAAATGAGGCAAATTTTGTAAAGATAAAAATACTTAAAGGGGGTGTGTTTCTTACTGTGCAAAAGGGCTCTTGATCAGAGGAATTGGACCCTTTCTTGGATCAAATATCAATACCTCCATCTTGATCTCATTAATAGGGATACAGTGGAACCTAGGTATGCGACCTTAATACATTCCAGAAGGCTGTTCAAGTGCCAATCAGTTGAGTATCGAACAAGTTCTTCCCAACCAATTTTCTGTTTGGTTGGCTGTTATCACTAACCTTCATAGGCCCCATGGTGACTTATTTATACAGATAATACAAAAAAAAAAAAGCAAAGAAACACGAAAGAGTTTACAGCGAAATTCTGGCAGGTTGTATTTGTTTGGTAGAGTGCTGAGCTTTGTTCAAGTAGGGAGTTGGTCATGTATCGAGGTTCCATTGTATTTCCCGTTTCGTAAAATCCAACTTCTAGACAGAAAGAAAAAGAATTACAACCAGCCCTGTTTTAGTATAGTTTCCACTGGTAATACTATGGTGGTTGTGTTGCTCTGCCCAATTGAAACTGGGTCATAAGATAGCAGGTAATTTATAACCCCTGCCCTATTTTTATAATGTTGCATGACCATTATCAGGACTTGTGATAATGAATTAACTACTGGAGGTTGCCTGCAGATATGGGAGTGGTACCCAAAAGTGTACAACTCCTGGTGTTCTTGCCATTTCGCCTATTATTAACTGAAAGATGACTGCACACTTCATGATCTTGCCTAAATAGGTAGTTTTGCTTAGTTCTAGAGGTGCCAGCCTGGTGTTGTGCACTAAATACACTAAGTTTCCAAGGAACATGAGCACTACCTGCTGCAGCAAAGGTGACCATGACTTGGGGTGGCTTAGGGCTTATTATTTGGGAGGTTCCTCCCATTTTTTTTACTTCATGATGTACGAGACATTCTTTCATTCTCCTCATTATTATAATAACAATAATACTTAATGCTCCTGGATCCAGAGTGAGTGATTTCCTCTGCTGACTCCCAGACAGCCATGGATCCTCCCTAGAATTGCTTTCTGGATACTACTTTGCCCAAACCCAGTACGGGTGTTCAACCTATTGCTTCTGGTATCTCTAGCCCTCACTATCTTGATTATGAAATTGGCTTTCCCCAGAATGCTAACATGATTCATGGATTGTCCTCATACCAAAGGATGGAGTGGCTTGAACCCATTTTATTCTAATGCAACAGATTTTGAGTATCATCATCAAGGTTCAGTCCCTGGACACGATGTGCAGGGCAATGAACAAGCAGATGCTTCTGCTCGGTCAGCAGTGCATGATCTAACGGTTTCCTACAGAGATTATTTTCCAGTCATCTCTGCCTGTCTTCGCAGCCATTGGCAACAACAGTTGGTAGAGCATGCACCATAACAAACTGCACTCTTAAACTGCTTTAGGTTGTCATACTCGGGAGATTGCGCTCTCCCAGCTCTGCATTGGCCATACTCACCTTACCCATGGGTATCTGATGGAATGACACCCTATTCCTCTCTGTGAAGTTTGTCGGGTCTATTTCAGTTCTTCACTTTCTTGTCAATTGCCCGGTTTACCAGCAAACTTGCAGGATTTACCTCCAATGATCATGACACCCTACCACTCTTACCTTATCTTCCCTTCTTGCAGATGGCCCTGCCTTTGACTTACAATTACTTTTACTTTTTGTCAGCAACTGCTTTACTGTACAAACTTTGACACATAGCCCTTAGTGTCCCTTCCAGCCCTTTTCTCCCCTCACCTCCGATCCCCTCTCCATCCAGCTGTTTATAGCTTCAGTACTGTTTTCTGCCCCACAGCACTATGACCCTTGTCGGTTTAGTGCTTTCTTTGATAATAATAATCAGGGTTCAGTGATGCCCTGTCACTTAAGTGATGTCTGTTGTCACTGTTAGCTCTGATATCTGTTGTCACTGTTAGCTCTGATATCTGTTGTCACTGTTAGCTCTGATATCTGTTGTCACTGTTAGCTCTGATATCTGTTGTCACTTAGTATCTGTTGTCACTGTTTAATATCTGTTGTCACTGTTAAGTGATGTATGTTGACTCAGTGATACCTGTTGTCATTCTTATTTCGGTGATGTCTGTTGTCACTTGGTTCATGGTTAAGTGATGTCAACGATGGTTTAATATTATCAATGTTAGTTAAGTGATGTCTGTTCTCTGTTAGTTTAGTGACGTCTGTTATCTTCATTGGTTAAGCAATGTCTATTGTCAGGGGCCCAAGACTGTTGAACTGCCGCCCAGCAAACATAAGGGGTATTACCAATAGACCCCTGGCTGTCTTCAAGGTGCTGGACAGATACCTAAAGTCAGTACCCGACCAGCCGGGCTGTGGTTCGTATGTCAGTTTATGTGCAGCCAGTAGTAACAGCCTGGTTGAGCAGGCCCTGATCCGCAGTGAGGCCTAGTCATTGAATGGGCCGTGGGGGCGTTGACCCCCAGAACACCCTCCATGTATACTTTGTTGGCTCATTAATATCTACTGTCCCTGTTGGTTCAATTATGTCTTCTGTCACTATTAGTCCAGTAATATCTGTTTCACTGTTGGTTCAGTAATGTTATTTCACTGTTAATTCGGTGATGTCTATTGTTACTATTGGTTCAGTTATATATGTTACCACTGTTGGTTCACTGATATGTTGTCACTGTTAGTTCATTGATATCTGTTGTCACTCTTGTTTCAGTAATGTCTGATGATTCAGTGATGTGTGTTTTCACTGTTGATTCAGTGATGTCTTTTCACTGTTGATTCAGCGATGTCTGTTTTCACTGTTGATTCAGTGATGTCTGTTTTCACTTGATTCAGTGATGTCTGTTTTCACTGTTGATTCAGTGATGTCTGTTTTCACTGTTGATTCAATGATGTCTGTTTTCACTGTTGATTCAGTGATGTGTTTTCACTGTCGATTCAGTGATGTGTTTTCACTGTCGATTCAGTGATGTGTTTTCACTGTTGATTCAGTGATGTCTGTTTTCACTGTTGATTCAATGATGTCTGTTTTCACTGTTGATTCAGTGATGTGTTTTCACTGTTAAGATAAGATAAGATTTCGTTCGGATTTTTAACCCCGGAGGGTTAGCCACCCAGGATAACCCAAGAAAGTCAGTGCGTCATCGAGGACTGTCTAACTTATTTCCATTGGGGTCCTTAATCTTGTCCCCCAGGATGCGACCCACACCAGTCGACTAACACCCAGGTACCTATTTGCTGCTAGGTGAACAGGACAACAGGTGTAAGGAAAAGTGTCGAAATGTTTCCACCCGCCGGGAATCGAACCCGGGCCCTCCGTGTGTGAAGCGGGAGCTTTAGCCACCAGGCCACCGGGCCACTAGCCACCAGGCCACCGGGCCACTGTTGATTCAGTGATGTGTTTTCACTGTTGATTCAGTGATGTGTTTTCACTGTTGATTCAGTGATGTGTTTTCACTGTTGATTCTGTGATGTCTGTTTATCACTTTTAACTGCCTATAGGAATCGTCATCACAGAGTTACTCTTGCTAATGTTCAAATTTTAGATTGGCTGTTATATTCTTCATGTATATTTGCCGGCTTTCTGTTTTATTATAATTAATTATCAGTGGGTAGGTCCCACTTTCTGAGAATGTTTTTGAAGATGGTTCTAAGTAAGGGTGATTATTAATAGACCCCTGGTTGTCTTCAAGGAGCTGGACAGGCACCTCGAGTCAGTACCCGACCAGCCAGGCTGTGGTTCGTACGTTGGTTTACGTGCTGCCAACAGTAACAGCCTGGTTGATCATGGCCTGGTCATGGATGGGGCCGCGGGGGCGTTGACTCACAAAACACCCTCCAGGTAAGTTTATTT